CATGGCACCACAATACCATATCTACATAATAAGATATTCATATTTTAAAACAACATCTCTCCTCTAGTTATAAGTCAATCAACACAACTTAATTACATGCCTTAAGCATTATCAACTCAACTACTTCAACACTACACAACATACAACTTTTCTACTTTCCACTTTCATTAACATAAAAATTTGAGTAACTTAAATATTAACATACATCATCCTTGATCAATATATAATGAACTAGAATCATACAACAACATACCAAATGTGAGCAACTCAATCTACAAATCACCTACTTAACACTTAGCTAAATAATCAACTATTTTTCATTCAACAACTCACGCCTGGTACTATTCTCCTCGTGCTTGGCGTCACTAAGGTAGAAAGCCTCTAGCTTACCCACACTTGACGCTAATCCACCCACGCTAATTTACCTGTGCCCGACCTGCATGAGGTAGAAAGTCCTTTGTGTTAATCACACCTTACGTGGCTAAACCCATGCATGATCTCATTTAGGTAGAGAGCATTTGTCTAACTCACGCCCAACATCCCTCAACTTGTGCCTGACATCATTTAAGCAAAGATCTACTATCTTGATCACGCTTAGCATCACTCCAACTAGGGACAATGTTACCAAGTCAAAGAGTTCTAAGGGAATCCATGCCTGATGTCTTTCAACCTATGTCTAATGTGACCAAGTTAGAGAGCTCAACTCTATCTCATGCTAGTCGCTACCAATCCTATGTTTGGTGGCATGAAACTATGCTTGGCGCGATGATGATTTATGCATTTTATAGAATCACATTTTGGCTCGATCCACCTGAAACCCAAAAGATTCCTAACATGCAATGCACCAAATAATGTTTATACATCACTATCAACATTCTTATCAACAAAAACAACATGCAACCACTACATGAGTCCAATTCACTAATTTCCCGTTAGAATGCTTAAGAAATTGTGAAACCCACAACATAAGAATTCCATCTCAATCATCAACACAACCACAAATTTAGGGAAAATCAAGTAATACATAACTCAACAATTCATCAGGAATTCAAGTTATAGCTTTTCTTACCTCTGAATCACCTAGAATCAAGGGTAAGAAGAACTAAACTCTTTGGGAAACTTCAAATGCAACCATCACCATCACTTGATTCTCAACCTCCCAAGCCTCGAATCTCTACCCAACCCTATCACTGAACTCGAGGAAGATCTTATCAATCTTTTGAAGACTTGGAAGAAAAGGGAATTCTCTCAAACTCCATAACTTTTTTTATTTAACTTCTATGTAAGTTTTCTAAAGAAATCAACTTATAAAACTTAAGTTTTAATGAAAACCTTGTATATCCTCCTCGGACTAGTCAACTTGACTTCAAGTCAAAATAACTCCTAAAACAACAAAACTCATTAAGATTCCTAAATCTTTAGGTTTAACAACTAATAAGTAACTAATCTTAACTACAATTAAATTAATAAAAGTCCTAATGTTACAAGAATATGTGCATCTTGTTGGATAAAAGCATTTGAGAAATACATGTTCTCTATCACTTTTTAAACCCTCCAATAGTCATTTATCAATTTTATTATTGATGTATAAACTTCAATATAGAGTAATATCTTTACATTTTTAATGAAAAATTAATATAAATAAGAAGAGTAAAATTGATACATAATAATTTTATTTTATAAATTCAATAAAATTAACTAACATAACAACTTATAGTGATTTTGTGAGACCCCCCGTACGGAACCCTTTCTTCCCCAACTCTCTTACCCTCTAACTCTCATTTTCTCCTTGCTCCCACTTGAGTCTTGGGCCTCATTCTTCCATTTTCGCTGTCTCAAGGTGGTGGTGAAGAGTAGGTTCAGGATTTCCTAGGAGAGTTCACGGAGCTCTTCTTCTCCCTTGCTGTTCAAGCTTGTCCATCTTCTCCGATCAAGCTTCCCCCTTCTTCATTTTCCTTCCCGAAGCTCGGATCTTCGAACTAAGGTAAGGGAAGTTAGATTTCTGCTGTGTTTTGGTTAAAGATGGGTCTAGGGACTCATTTAAATGGTTGAGAACTGATGATTTTGGCTGAGAACTTCTAAAGTTTAAGTTTTTGGGGTTTTCAGGATTTTGAGAAATTTTGAGGAAATTCTTGGATTGTGGTTGCATGTGGAAAATGAGGTATTTTTCTTGATGTTTGATGAGAATGTGGCATTTTGGCTGGATTGCATGCTTATTTTCTGTTAAGATTTGCAGGTTTTGAACAATTTTCGAACTTGGGGAGAGTTACTGATGAATTCGCGCTGGGCGCCGTTCTTCGCGCCAGGCGCGCGACCACCAGGAGACTCTGTTTAGGCAAGCCCGCCGGGCGCAAGGTTGTGTGCGCTGGGCGAGCTTGCAAATGGGAGTCTCTGATTGGCCCGCGCCGGGCTTGACTCGAACTGCGCTGGGCGCGATATCAAGAGTAACATGTTTTGGGATACTTGGTGCTACGCTAGGCGCACTTTTGGACTCGCTGGGTGCGGAGGCTCCTTGGGAGTCTCTGCCAAGAGCACGCCGGGCGCAATGCAAATTGCGCTAGGCGCGAGACCTTGGTAGGTCTCTGCCTTCCCCACGCTGGGCGCGGGTTAGGCCTCGCTGAGCGCACGAGACTCCTTGAGTCTCTGCCAGGCAGGCGCTGGGCGCAATTTGGAATTGCGCCAGGCACGGGAGAGCCTTGGTGCTCTCGGGTTGAGTCTCGTTGGGCGCGAGTACTCCTGCGCTGGGTGCGCTGGTCCTGGTGCTCTCAGGTTAAGCCGCGCTGGGCGCGACCTCGAGTGCGCCGGGCACGCAAGGAGATGATGACCTATATGATGTTGGCTGTTGAATTATGCCGAGATTGTAAATCAATGATGTTATATGCTGAACCATGTTGTATTTGATGAATATGCTGTGATGACTAGGAGATAAATATGTTAGCTGTATTAGAGGTGTATTGTTGAGCTGGAATCATTGGATTAATAAGTGAAATTTTATAGGGCGCGCGACCACCAGGAGACTCTGTTTAGGCAAGCCCGCCGGGCGCAAGGTTGTGTGCGCTGGGCGAGCTTGCAAATGGGAGTCTCTGATTGGCCCGCGCCGGGCTTGACTCGAACTGCGCTGGGCGCGATATCAAGAGTAACATGTTTTGGGATACTTGGTGCTACGCTAGGCGCACTTTTGGACTCGCTGGGTGCGGAGGCTCCTTGGGAGTCTCTGCCAAGAGCACGCCGGGCGCAATGCAAATTGCGCTAGGCGCGAGACCTTGGTAGGTCTCTGCCTTCCCCACGCTGGGCGCGGGTTAGGCCTCGCTGAGCGCACGAGACTCCTTGAGTCTCTGCCAGGCAGGCGCTGGGCGCAATTTGGAATTGCGCCAGGCACGGGAGAGCCTTGGTGCTCTCGGGTTGAGTCTCGTTGGGCGCGAGTACTCCTGCGCTGGGTGCGCTGGTCCTGGTGCTCTCAGGTTAAGCCGCGCTGGGCGCGACCTCGAGTGCGCCGGGCACGCAAGGAGATGATGACCTATATGATGTTGGCTGTTGAATTATGCCGAGATTGTAAATCAATGATGTTATATGCTGAACCATGTTGTATTTGATGAATATGCTGTGATGACTAGGAGATAAATATGTTAGCTGTATTAGAGGTGTATTGTTGAGCTGGAATCATTGGATTAATAAGTGAAATTTTATAGTATAGCGGAATTATAGACTGTTGGGCTGAATTGTGGAAAATAATAATTGTGTTGAATTGCTGTGCTGTGTGGTGCTGTGCTGGGTTGTGCTGAGTTGTGAGATATTATAATCGCTAAGTCGATGCTGTTGTTAGCCACATATGTGGTGCTGATTCTAACCGCTAAGGCGGTGATGTTGTTGCCGCTTTGCGGTGCCGTTATAGCCACTTAAGTGGTGCTGTTGTTGTTGCTAAGCAGTGCTGATATTGCCGCATTGCGGTGCTGATATTGTTGAGTGGTATAAGCTGTACAAGTGTGCTGATAACTGTATCTGTTGTTTATTTATATTGATATATATTTGTATGTTGAATTTTAATTACACTAGCTTACCCTTTTGTTGTCTCCATGATGTTGGACTGCAATGATCATACAATGTATGGGAGCAGAGCAGGGATAAGTGGGTGTCTGGTGGTGAGTCTCCGGTGGACCCGTGGAGCTGATTTCTGTTGTGATATCTTTTTGCTGTATAGTTACTTGTGATAGTAACATTTGATTGTAATTTCTTTTGTACACTTTAACTCTATTCAGACTGGAACATATATATGTATATTCTACACTCTATATGTATACATTTGTTCTCTTCTGTGCAGTGTTTCTAGTATGCGATGCCGTGTGTAGTGACCAGCCGGGTCGTTACAGATTTGTGTGATCCTATTAAAATGACTTATAATAAGGATCAAATGAAGTAGTTTAGTGAATTGAAAGAAAATAAAAAAATTTCCTTTAGATCAATTAATAATAATTTAATTTGATGTGAGTCAAGAAATAAGTACTAAACAAGTCACGTAACAAATTTTTATTCCTATTAAGATAAAGTGATTATTTTTTATCAATAAAAATTATAATAATGATAATAAAATTTCAGTATATACTATCACAATTTCTTACTAGTATATCAGTCTTAATTATTCTACCTTGATAAAGTGATTAGAAACAAATATGATTTAGTTATGTAATGTAATACAAATCATTTAGCAACTTATATTTTTAAGATTAATTTAATGAATTCATTATAACATTTTTTTTAAATACATGCATAGTCATTTTATAATATATATATATATATATATATATATAAAATAAATTATTATATATAACCATTTGTAGTCAATTTAAAAAAAAATTTATAATCAAATTACAAAATAAAAAAATATCATTATTTATTATCAAGTGCATAGATGAATTAGCTAAGTTGTTCCAGCTATAAAAAAAAACTGCTTTATAAAATAAAAATTTAAAAAACACATGCAGGAAAAAAAAAGAAAAAAAGAAATGAAAAAGAAAAACAACTACGAGAAACAGGAAACAGACATTGATGCGTGATCTTCATCTTCTTCCTCTGATCTGATCAGAGAGGTGGAGAGAGTAACTATGACAGAGACGGAAACAGAAGGAGCAGCGAAGGTGAACCCTATCGAACATCTTCCTCTGAGTCTCCTGAGATCCGATACAGTTCCACCCGCTCCCACCTTCTCCCAATCCACCGTCGATTTCCTCCCTCACTTCTGCGGCTACTCCTGGATCGCTTACGCCGCCTCCTCTCTCCTCGTCGTCTCCCACTTCCCTTCCCCTCTCTCCCCTCACCAAACCCGCATCGGCCCCCTTTTCCGCCAATCCTTCCAGCTCTCCGCCCATCCCGCCGCCTCCGTCGCCTGGTCCCCCCGCACTCCCTCCTCCGGCGACCTCGCCGCCGCCGCTGATAACTGCATCTGGATTTTCCGCCACGCCTCCGCCACTGCTCAAGGTGACTCCTACTTCTGATCTCTTTTTGCTTTAATTGCTCAAATTTAATGGATATGTTTGGGATATATCATATATGTGCTTTAATTGCTGAATTTTAATGGATATCATGTGTTCTGTGGGAAGTAAACTGTATGTATTACGTAACGGTTGAATGTTGAACTTCTACTGAGGGCACAAGGAGGAGTGGAGGATAGTTCTTGAGTCATAAGTCATATCATTGAGCACGTGTTGATTCACATGTTTGTTTATAACTGTTACGTGGAGAAATGATAGCGATACTCTCTCTACCACTCTTTTTCTAATACTCTTTTTTATAATGTGATTTTCAATATATTTTAGTCACTAAGTGTTAGAAAGAGTCTGTCAAGGAGTGTTGCTACTTGCTAGTGTTCCTCATGTTATGTTTCACTCGTTTATGAAAATGAAAGGAGTTGGATTCTAATTTCTGGCACCCGCGTTTGTGATTAGGAGTGAAAAATGACGAAACAAGAATGTAGACGTGAACTTCTCTGGAAGTATGTACAGGAGAAGAAGATCAGAAAATAAAATAAGTTGAGTTTTTTCTTATTTTCTTCTCCTTAAGTAAGGTTTCAAGTTTGAGTTTGAATATGGAAAAAACGTGGTTAGCCTGATTCTCTGATGAAAATTAGTCATTGGTGAAATTGGTGGATATTTCGCACCAATAACATGGTTACCAAAAAAATTGTGTTTTTTCTTATAATTTAAAATCAACTTGTGCACACAACTCTTATAGAAGTTCTTTCATATAATATCTTCAAAAGGTGGGGTGTATAACTTAATTTTAACTTATAGGAGAAGCTTAATTCAGTTTAGAGCTAAGGGCCTATATGGGTAAATTTCTCCAAAAGTACTTATAGGAGAGAAAAATAGGAAGAAATAGATGAAAGAAGTTTCTCCATAAGTTAAAATTAACTTATGTATAAGGCAATTTGTAGAAGCTCTATCCTATTAGCTTCTCAAAATCTTGCTTTTAACTAATGCATAAGCTAGTTTTAGCTTATGGAGAAGTTTATTTCAATTCTTCTTTCTATTTTTTTTTCTCTTAGAATTGTTTTTGGAGAACTTTATTCAAACAGGTCTTAACTCGACTACTCGTAGTTTACATGCTTTTTAAAGTCTTCAGTATTGTTTAGAGTAAAATCCTATTTAAAGAAGACCTCGAGGTATTGTATGGTCTGTCCACCTTTAGAAGAGTTTATCATAAAATGGGGTCAATGGGGTCAATGTTTATTATAGAGGGGGTTTAGATATTCAAGAGATTGGCAAACTTCGATTACTTGTTTTGCTTTTCTTGTTTGATAAGTTTTTTCTTTGAAATTATTATTTCTCTTTGGAGGATATCTTATTCTCTGTTCTTGAACTTTTTTCTTTCCCGTTTCTAATATATTCATTCTTCTAAGATAAAAAGAAAAATTTACAATCGGACAAGTCATCTATTTTATTAGTTCCATATATTAAAAACATGATCTTGTCACTCATATTCAGGTTCTTTTTGTTGGAGCCAGAATGCAGTGCTTGTACAACATACGGAAGTGGCAAACATCAGATGGACAGGATCAGGAGATGGAATTATTTCTGTTGGAATGGAGGTGGTTTTCTGGAAAAGGAGTAACAAATGTTGGGAAGTTGCTTGGAAGTTTAAAGCAGATCAACCCCAAACTCTTGTTTGTGCAACTTGGTCTATTGAGGGCCCTTCAGCAACTGCAGCACATCATAGTAAAGAACACATTGAAGGGACCTTGACCAATGAAGTAAGCAAATTTGTGTTATTATGTCAAAGCAATGGACTATCTGAATATTCAAAAGTCAAACTACATCATCCTCTACCTGTTGTAATGATTCAATGGAGACCATCAAGGGTAAAGCTATCAAACAGATATGGTAAGTCTTCATTAAGGCATGTATTATTGACGTGCTGCTTAGATGGAACTGCAAGGTTATGGAGTGAAATTGATAATGGAAAGGCCAGGAGAGCTGGGAAAGACAACAATGATCAGAAGAACATGGGATGCTCTTATTGTGTTGTTGCTGTTATTGAGATTAATCAGTCCTTCAACGGAACTCTTGGTTCAGATATATTTGTGACATGGGGGACAGAAATTGAGGGAATATTTAGAAATGATGAAAAGACCAAACAAGTTTTTCCCAAAGTAGGATTGGAGCATGATGTTAGAAATTGTGATTGGCTAGTTGGCTTTGGTCCTGGAATGTTACTTAGCTTTTGGGCTGTGCACTGTCTTGATGATGTTTCCCCACTGAGATTCCCCCGAGTTACATTATGGAAGAGGCATGAACTCCAGAACCATGACATAGCAAATGCTTACAAGTTTAACTCCTCGGATTTTAAAAATGCCTTGTTTCTTCATAAGGTCATTATATTGAGAAATTGCCTGTCTGGTCCACCGATCATATGCTCTCCACTTCAGCTATTACCATGTAATTCCTTAGTTTGGTCATTTTTCCGTATTCAAACAGTACATGATGCTGTGGAGAACTCCATTAATAATGGTAACACAGATAACATCTCCTCCCATTTGACTGGTGGAGTTTTAAACTTAGATGGTCATAGTGGGAAAATCTTAAAGGTGTCAATTCATCCTTGTACATGTGAAGTTCAATTTGCTGCTTCTCTGGATTCTAATGGACTGCTTCTTTTTTGGTCACTTTCTAACATTTCAAACTGCGTTTTGGGATGTCCAACTTTGGTTCCTACTATGGAACTATGTGGAAAGCTTGCAACTCAAGACTCATGCTCCTTGTACACAAGTTTGACATGGGCACCATCAGTACTTGATGACAAACTGTTTTTTTTTATGGGGCATACCCGGGGTATTGATTGCTTCATTGTCAACATTTCTCGAACTGAAGAAGAAAATATAGAATGTCACTACTTATGCACTATTCCTTTCAGTGGTCACGGTCCTTATGAGGATGGCCCTTTCGATATCTTTACAATTCCTTTGAACTCCAATTGTGAAAATTTTTTTCGTAATAATAAACTTATGCTATTGGCAATATGGATGGGCAACTTTCAGGCCCTATCATGGGAAGTTAACTTGCACTCATTTGACATGTCAACAAACATTTGTGAATGCAATTTTGATGTTAAAAGCATTGATGACTGTAGTGTTTGGGCTTTTGAAAGTACATTTGCTAATAAAAAATATTGCATTACTGTAAATCTATGTTCATGTGAGTATCCAAGTTCCAATGATCTGGTTACTAGTTTCTCAGTGGCTGATCCAGGCACTCTGAGCCATAGACAACAAGAGTTTGGCTTTGCAAATGATCTTTGCAGTAGTTATCCTGCATATATCATGGCCACAGGCTCCTCTGATGGCATCTTGAAACTCTGGAAAAGTAAACCTGGCAACTCATTGACCCAGCACTTGCCGTGGGAGCTAGTTGGTTCCTTTGTTGCACATGATGGTCCCATCAAGGGTATATGTTTCCCTGATTGTGGTGAGAAGATTGCTACATTCTGCTACGAAAGCAATTCAAATGCTATCAATACCATCCATATATGGGATGCTGTACCACTAATTAGTGCAGGAACTTTTATTTTGGAGGATAAAATAAAGCTTGAAAGTGATGTTATTGCTCTAAAGTGGTTAACTTTAGGAACTGGGGAGTTATTGCTTGGAGTTTGTTTGCAAAATGAATTGCAAGTATATGCTCCTAAGTGTCATGTTGGTACAACTTTGTCAAACTCTGTAAATTTTCCAAAACTGAATATATGGATTCGCATTGCATATGCTTTCACTTCCATTCCAGTTTATGATTTCTTATGGGGACCCAGAGCTTCAGCAGTGGTGATTCATGGAAATTACTTTAGTGTATTTAGTCATTGGTTGTTCCATGTGGATAAAAAGCAAAGGAGTAATTTTCATCATTGTGATTCAGAGCCTAATACCTATAATTGTGAGGATGAAATATATGAAGACATATTTTCTGCAGTTTTTACTGAACGTGACATTGGTGCTCTCAGAGAACAGTCAATTGGAGATAGTCGCGCAGATTGTGATTCTGAGTGGTCCATAAAAAATATTTTGAAGGACAATAACCTTTCCAGTAGCTTGTTTCTGGCCAAGGAACAATTAAAATCTGAATTTCTTACCAAGGTTGGTTTATGGAGTATCTTAGAAGTAGCTGAGATAATTAGTGGATCATTACCTACTTATCACCCTGATGTACTACTTACTAATATAAGTTCAGGTAATGGTTGAGCAATTTTTTTTAAAAATATTATATGACTGATAGTGATGACTCAACTAATTTACTCAAACATGTAATGGGAATGATAGCATGTTTTTCTTGTATTTTTATTTATTTTTAATGTTTTCAGGAAACTGGAAACGTGCTTTTGTAGCTCTGAGGCATCTTGTTGAATGCCTGAATTCCAATTATGATCCTAAAAAGATACACATCTCCAAAAAAATTGGTCTTCCAAATATTGCACTGTCATATTATCTGGAAGGATGTATATCAAAAGGTTCCCAAGGTAAGGGGTTCCAATGGAGTGGGGATGCTACTTCAATGACATCAATTTCACAGGCTCAGAGTAGCTTGTTCCAGTTTCCATATCATTCAGTTTCCAGTCCTGAAAATGGAAACATTTCCTCAACAGAATCTGAGCTGAATGGCTTTATTGAATCTCTTGAGAAATTGCCTGATTTACCACTTTTGATCGACACAGAGAAGACTCAAATTCTTGCAATTATAGATCTGCTTAGTGAAGTTAGTGGTGCACATTCATCTTCTGCATATCAGAGTCTTGATGAACCTGGGCGAAGGTATTCATGAACTTATTTAATATATTTATGGTTTCCTGTTACATTTCCTTTGACCTTTTCCTTTTATCTATTTTTTTTCTGTTTGATAAATCATAAGTAAAAATTATTGGAAGATACTGATGGAATTTTTCCCAATCAAACTCAAAGTAAACAAAAAGGATATCCTGCAATGGACCAGGATAAATGACAAATTATAAGATATTATATCAATAAAATTCTTGACGGAAATTTTGGAGTAGAGAATAAAATACAGGACCAAAGATATGATGTCTTGAATTGAAGACGTTCCTCTGAATCTCTGCAATAGAACATGAACTATCTTGAAATATTATCCACTTGGCTCCTATACACGCATGGCAAGTGAATGTATACAAGAGACATACTGCAATTTTAGAGAAGAAAAAGATCTTTATTTTTGTACATTGATCAAAATTACATGAGGAGATTATACATGCAAAGATGATTAGAAGAAATCTTAATCACCCTGATTACAAAATAAATGTAAAGATAAGATAAGGAGAAGAAAATAAAGGAGAATCAAATCAGATTTGAATAATCCGATATTGATCCCATCTAACTAAATCTCCTATATAAAACAGAATATAATCAAATATGAGTAAGTTTGATTTTGATCTTAACTACCCAAATTTACAATTAAATAAAAGTATATTCAGCTATCAACACACAATTTGCAAACTACCCTAGCTTACTTTTTGAGATATTTGAAGCTTAGTTATTTCATATTATTTTGTATCATTGTTATTGCATTTGAACATCAATGGCATAGCACCTGATAATATTTAGTATAATTACTTTGTTAAAATCAAACTCTATTGCATTTACATGAGAATTATTACATTATAAGGTCATGAACTATCGTGGAATTAATATGCTGGCACATGGGTATGAACAGGTTCTTAACTATTCAGAAGGTCTGTTGGTTATATAAGTGTTTGTCATTCTTAACTTGTGTCAGGAGAAAGGGTGATACAATATTCATGCTAAAAGAAGTGTAAGAAGAAAAAAAAGGTTGACCAAATAGTTAGTTTCTGTTTTTTCTATTAGGCTAGTAGATTGGATTTTTTTTTAATTTAATTTATTCTTTGTCAGGGATTTTCAGAAATTATCTTTCCATCAACATGCTATGCTTATGGAATCATCTTTTTTATCTTGTTGACTATGTATCTTTTGCCCCCTCATGACTATGCATTCTGTTAATTTTCTTACCATGGAGATTCAATGACCTATTAATGATATTGTTTCACCTGTCAAAATTCTTTGAATAAATGAACTACAAAATTATGGAGTGCTATTGCTGATGATAATTATGAAATATGAACTTAGATGATGAATTTTATATCTAAAGAACATGTTGATGGTGGTGGGATCTTATGTGTATATGGTTGCATTTTGGTAGTTGATACATGAGTGATGTGATTTATAAACTTTTCTTTGTAGGTTTTGGGTTGGACTAAGGTTTCAGCAACTGCTTTTTCTCCGCAAGTTTGCTAGAGCTGCGTCTTACGAAGAGTTGCTTGTTAACTCTAGGTTGTTTGTATGGGCTTACCACTCTGATTGCCTAGATAATTTGTTTGGTTCTGTCATACCCAATGAACCTTCATGGCAAGAAATGCGTGCTTTGGGTATGGGCTTTTGGTATGCTAATATACCTCAATTGCGTGCAAGGGTAATGCTCAGTCCTTTTCTATTTTCCATTATTCTCCATGTTCTATATGGGGAAACAAACATGAAACAAAATCTTTGAAATTGAAACCTTAAGTTTCCAGCATGTGAACTGCTATATCTCACAAGAATTTACATTTCTTACTGCTTTTATAGGGTTTTTAGCTGATATCAAATTTGAAGAAAATATAAAATAGTTTACTTAGTGCATCATTGACAGAAATTTCTTTCACTTCACAATTTATAATTGCTAGGTAATTTAGTTTGCCAGCTAATTTAAACAGTTTCTTCTTGTTTCAAGCATTCCTTACTTTTGTCATGAATATTTGGCCTCAGATTTCACTACAGAGCTAAGATTTACATACAAACTGGCATGCTTTAAAATTTTTCCTTTAATTTCTTAACATGGCAGACTGAATTCAAGATTTTTAAAGAAGCATTAATAAACGTTAAAATAGATCAGATAGGTAGTGCTCAGCTATCTATTGATAGTTTGTACTTATTGGATTGTATTATTAGCCTAAAGAACAGAGTTGTCAAACTTGAAAGTCTAAGTAAACTCTTGGAGCTTCCATTGACTTATAGAGTTGTTAGAGTTTACCTGATGTAAAATATAATGTTAAAAACATATTAGTGACATATGCATAACATAATACTCTTAAACAACAACAATTCAACATTTCAATGTTATAATAAACAAAGTCGTAAACCACAATAATAAAGTGTGATACAGTGATAGTACACTAGGTCTAAATAAGACCAAATAATATTTTAATTTATAAAAACATGTTACTGAAGTGGAGACTTATCAGAAAGGAGTTCATATTTTCAAATCATTTGAGAGGGAGTTACAGCTGATTTCAAATTTGCTAACTCACTTCTTAACTCAAAAGTTTATGCTAGTTGACAGTTTACATGAGTTTAACCAATTTACCTGAGTTTATCTTAAAAAGAGTTTGATGTTAACCTGTTTTGATAAAGCTTCCCTTTTGTTCATTTGTTACCATTGTCTCCATCAAGTTTTTCTGTTTTGTAGTTCACTAATCAAACTATTGAAAGTTGGTCAACTTTTTCTCGAAGATAGCCTTTTCTCCTCACGGATATCAAATCCTTGTGCCACCTTTGTTAAAGACTTTGCCAAATTCAACTTGGAATTTTATTTTTTCCTCCTAAGATGTAGAAAATATTTGGGAGCATATTTTCCTGTTGACCATATGTTAAGAATTACATAATTTTGTTATGTACTTTAATGGAGAATAATTTAATGTCCTTTTACATTTTCTTTGTATGGAGTAGGGACCTTGGGAAGTAGATGTGATGCATATAAAGTATCAACTGTTGTGATGCTTTAGAGTGCTGTTTATGAGAAAATATCCAGTCTCTTATATTAATTTCTTTTACTCTCAATATCTGCTGATTGCATGATGTGGCAAGAAAAACTGGGATTTCTCATCAGCTTTTACAAATTAGAACATGGAAGGATTTTTTTTTTCATTAATAGTTATTTTATTTGTTTATGTGCTTGTCATCTGTTGATTATTGTAGTCAGACTTAAAATATCTCATTGTTCATAATATTTTTTCCAATTCAAACAGTTTTAATACTTCTTTTGTTCCTTTTGCTCTAGATGGAGAAATTGGCAAGAGCTCAGTATTTGAAGAACAAAAATCCTAAGGATTGTGCTTTGCTGTACATTGCACTGAATAGAATTCAAGTTTTAGCTGGCCTTTTCAAAATCAGTAAGGATGAGAAGGATAAGCCTTTAGTGGGCTTTCTTTCACGCAATTTTCAGGTAAATTGTCCTACAAATCTACAAGAGCATTTTTTTTTAAATTTTATTTTTTCATCAATGCCAATAAAGAACTTAGTGATTTACATTAAACTGATAGAGTTAAGTAGATTTTTATTTTGATTGTTGTTTTAACTTGGATTGTATATGTAAGTGTCGAACTGCTTTCCTATTAGCATGTGTTTTATCATATTTATGGTATTAAGTCACGATCCAACCATAATAATTTTATTACAGGATGATAAAAATAAAGCTGCTGCTTTAAAAAATGCTTATGTCTTACTGGGAAAGCATCAGCTGGAATTAGCAATTGCTTTCTTTTTGCTTGGAGGTGACCATTCTTCTGCTATAAATATTTGTGCTAAGAATCTTGGGGATGAACAGCTTGCCCTAGTCCTTTGTCGTCTTGTTGAGGGCCATGGTGGACCACTGGAGCATCATTTAATTACAAAGAACATACTTCCATCTGCAATTGAGAAAGGAGACTACTGGCTAGCAAGCCTTTTGGAGGTGCCCAAAATACTTGCATTCAATTTATGCAGGGACATTTTGTTTTATTCAGTTGTAGTGGCTTGCTTCACACATGATCCTAACTCTAACAAGATGTTTTTGATTTGCAGTGGGAAATGGGTAATTACTATGAATCTTTTTATAGAATGCTAGAGTTTTCAGTAAACCCTGTGCCTTGGAAGTCCACTGTCATGTCCAAATATTGTCCTTTTTTGGACCCTACCATTGCTTTTTATTGCCAAATGTTAGCAACAAAGCATAGCATGCGGAATGCTGTGGGGGAGCAAAATTCTGCAATCCTTTTGAGATGGGCAACTTTGGTGGCAGTTACTGCCCTAAAAAGATGTGGTAATCCTGTAAGTTTATTTTACATATTTTGCAATTAATCAATTATAAATTGAGAATTGTATTTGTACATAAAAAATAAGTTTGCCTGAACTACGAGCATATCTAATGAATTCAACTAATGTCAAAACTTCAATCATTTTCTCAATAATTTGTCTTTTGCTCTGTTTATCTTGGGCTGGTTGATGTGAAAACTGTGTAGTGTGTTCTGAGCTACTTTTTTCTTTGTGTAAGGAATACTCACTATGCCTTTCATAGTGTTGGAATGTCCCACATTGTTTCCCTCAATTATTTGGGTGCAACTTATATATTTGTTGGACAACTTCACTTAATGCCAATTGGTTTTAAGATCAAATCTATCATGGTATAGAGCTTATAGCTCATCTTGGTAAAACACCTATTTTGGTAGGCTGGCCTAATATGGCAGGAATATGTGGAGGAGAGGTGTTGGAAGGTCCCATATCACCTACCTCAATTTTTGGGGTGCAACTTATATATCTGTTGGACAACTTCACTTAATATCAATTGGTTTTAAGATGAAATCTAACACTTAACCTTGTGTGTAGGTGTGATATTGATTTTCTGCTATTGAAGGTGGAGAAGTTGGCATCTTATTGTGCCTAAATTGTTTATTGGGCCATCCTTGAGAAATTCTTTTTGCAGTATACCTCTTAGGCCTTTTTCATGTAAATGTTTCCACCTGTTCTTGTCAATCTACTAATATTTTGGGTGATAACTTTTATGTATGTCCAAGTACCCAGCCAAATTAGCGAAAACAGAGAATTTTTAAACAATTCTATAATCCTATTATTTTTAATTGGAGTTATTATTCATTAAGTTTTCTTTGCGGCAACTTTAGATTAGTTGCTACTAATGTTGATGCCTGAGGTATTGGGTGCATGCAGAGATATTAGACATGTGTAAGTACAGTGCCAATATGTGGCTCTACCTATGTTTACGGCCAGTAATTATTCGTAATGTTTTCTTGTTTCAAGCTTGAGGCATTGGAGTACTTCTCATCTTCATTGAGTGTGCTCGGGACTGCAGATCAAGAGAGTGAATTAAGTGACAATCATGATGTGCTGTCCAGCACTCTTAAGCCTTTGCCAAGAAAATGCTCTAACTGGTTGTCTGCTGATGTGTCTGCACATCTGGAGTTCCATATTAAATTGAATTTGGCACTTTGCTACTTGTCAAAATTGATACGAGAGCATCCAAGCTGGCCTGATACATTTGCAGAATATAATGGAGAAGCTTTTGATTCTGATGACTACATGGTGCGATATGAGAGATCAGTTGATAGTTTTAAACAAAAGTTACACACAGGACTTGCTCTATTTGAACAGAGGTTTTTATTGGCTCCACACTGTCTAATCAATATGGTATGCTTTTCTATTCTAGTTCCCCCCTCCCTCCTTATGTGTGTCACCATTCAGCAATATACTTCTGTGATCACTCTTTAATTTCCCTTTTCTGCAGATTTTTCTCTTACTTTGCCATCATGGAGCATTGTACATTGGATATGATATGATAGATGGATGCACTCAAGGGGAACTGTCTCAAAAGAAGAGAAATATATTTGATGATTTCAATTTATATTACTCTCAGATTAAGCCCCTCTTTAAGACTGCAGAAGATGTTTCCTTTCTCTATTCAAGATTTTTTTGTGCCTGCAGTATGGAATATTTTCAACGAAGTTCATCTATTTCATTTATTGAGAGAGAACCCAAGTTTTCAGATGCTTTGCAGTCCCGCTTTGAAGGTGTTTTGATTTCATTGTCATATTTAAGAGCAGTTTTTAGGATCCAGTTGAGTTCTATTGGCAAAGATCTTGTCAAAACACATCTTGATATCTTGGATTTTTACGAGTATTATTTACATTTTTCATTAGCTTGGCTTCAAAGAAACGCTGAAGCCCTTCTGTATATGGTGGAACCATTTTTGGTTCCACAATCTAATGGCCGTAATCCTTATGACATTGATATGGTGAATCTGATGAAGCTTATCCCAAAAATTGGAAAGTTGGCTCAAACTTCTTTCATGCCAAATATACATAACCTTCAATTGTCCAAATGTGCAGAAGATAAACTAGTTGCAGATATAAAGCATTCAATTCCTGATGATGAAAGATGGAAGATTTTAGGGACCTGCTTGTGGCAGCATATGTCTAGATTCATGATATCTAATTTGAATCCTATTCTTGCCAAACTTGGAGATGGTAATTTGTCTGGTCCTTTCCACAGAAAATATACTTATGGAGAGTCTTATCTAATAAATATGGATTCTGAAAGCATCAGCTTGCAAGAGAAGATTCGGTTAGTCTCATTTAGCCTATGTGATCTACTGATGACAACAGTTACTCACATTTCTTCTTATCATGTTAAACAACATGCAGAATTTCTGTGGCAAAAAGTAGAGAATGATTTGAATGTAATTACTCTTGAATGGTTAAAACAAAAATCAGAATTCAGTCAGAACCAAAACCTGGACATTTTGGAATTGGGGAACAGGAAAGATAACTATTCGGTTCATCAATTATTATGGGATCACTGTGCGGATCCCAAATTGATATCTGATTGCTTTGCACAGGAAAAACTCAATTGGCCAAATGATTTGGATCATATGCATACTAAAGGATGGAATGACCTGTCTAGAATTATGACAGGACTGTATAAAACTGATGATACATGTGTTGGTGAAAGTAAACTTAGCACTAGATCTTCTAATCATGAAGTTGGAACTCCTGTTATAGGAATGTCAAGTGGCCATGCTTCTGCAAGATCAAACCAGAAAGACATAACTCAAACAAATTTTGCAGTTTTCCAGAGTCCCAGAGAAATGTACAAGAGAAATGGAGAACTTTTGGAGGTGATTTCTGCATCTGTTTAATCATTTTCACATGGTCACAATCCATATACATGTATATATAAGAATGACATTGTTGCTATATTTGAGCAGGCATTGTGTATGAACTCTACTGATCAACGGGAAGCTGCAGTTGCTAGCAACCGGAAGGTTTGTCTCGATGTTATTCTGAAGTTTTGGATGCATGGATGTTGAATTTTTCATTGGCATGCCTGTGTGTTTTATGTAGAAAAGATTGTATAATTTGTTTGCACATAGGATCTTTTGGTATGGTTTCAGTTCAATCTTTTTCTCTAGCCTTTTTTGTTCCTTAGGCTTCAGTTTTTTGTTGTGGGTGAGCATTGAAGGTGGAGCCAAGAATTGAATTCAGTACCAGAAGAGAAGTACAATGAATTGATAATCCTGGATTTTTTTATTAAAAAAGTAGTTTAAATTAAAATGTTAAAATTTGATTATGAATTACACTTTCTTTAACAATTTGTAAATATTAACATGATAAAAAGTTTGAAGGTAAGTGTTATGAACTGTAGTGTAAGATTAAGTCAAAGACCTATTCACAAAAGAATCCTTCTTGTGACCTATATAGCGAAAGCAAGAAGCTTTTTCTGAAAATAATTTCTCATTGATAAAATTCTAATCAGGTCCGTCTTTTAAAAAGGCTACAAAGATATCCCTAATTAATATGATCATAACTAACAACTATCCTATTTAATAAAATAAAAAATAAAGAGATCTCTAATGAGTATGATTATAATAAATTATAAAATAAAAAATAGAGATTCCTAATTAATAGAATCATAACTATTATCCTAATATGAAATATTTATGCTATGGATTTAAAACCAGAGATTCTGATATGCAGATTATATCAAGATAGGGAAATATAAATAAACAAGTTAAACTGAAATAATTCAACATTGAAATAAAGTGATATGGTAATCATAATTAGTGGTCCACGTCATTAAGAAAAAGAGTTCATATATACTAACATACATAAAGGAAATATGAAAACATCTATCTATGTATCTTCAAAAGTTTGTTTCATTTCACTCTATTATTCTCCATATAATTGAGAGTTGACAGAGTGACCTATAATCATAAGCCATTTACAGTATATTTAGGCTAAAAATAAATATAAATAGGATAGGAAAGATGATAATTAGGGTGAAACACTGCTGGCACTGTAACTTGGGACTAATCTGTCTGAAAAGGGAAAGGGAGGCAAAACAAAAAAAGAATCCATGTTAGACATATACTTATGTACATATTCAGAATAACATGAGGAAATTGTTATCTCTGGACCCCCCCCTGAACTGTGCCATTGTTAAGTATTTCCAATGTTTTAACATGTGGCTGTGATCCACATAACATAAGCATGGATATAGGGTTTGAAGAAGGTAATGTGGGAAATATTTCTAACATTCGTGTTCAACTTAATTTCCCCTTTTTTGGTCATATGATGGTCAATGGACCAATGTATTCTGTAAACAAAATATGGATATGGTATTTTATGCAGATGGTAATGGTCATTTGTTGTTACTATTATTTGAAATGATAATTATTTTGCATTTGCAGTTATACTTTGTCCTCCTTTTAGATGGCTTTATTTTAAATTTCATTGCGTTTAAATTTGTTCTTTAGAAAACTCAGACATCCAACATCTGAATATACAAAAAGTATATAAATGTATTTGTTTCTGTTTATCAAATTCAGGGTATAATGTTCTTTCATCTGGAAGATGAGGTTCATTTTAGTGGTAGATCAGATGATCTTTTGTGGGCCAAGGCTGATTGGCCTCAGAATGGATGGGCAGGTTCGGAATCCACCCCTGCTCCAACATGTGTTTCTCCTGGTGTTGGCCTTGGGAGCAAGAAAGGGGTACACCTTGGGCTGGGTGGAGCAACTGTTGGTGTGGACTCTTCAGCTTGGCCCAGCAATGACTTGACAGGTGGTGGAGTATTAGGAATGCTAGGTTATGCTGGCATTGGTGCCTCTGGATTAGGTTGGGAAATTCAACAAGATTTTGAATATTTTGTTGATTCACCTGCCACTTTGGAGAACATAAGTACCAGGGCTTTGTCTAGTCATCCGATGAGGCCGTTCTTCTTGGTTGGTTCTAGCAATACACACATTTACTTATGGGAGGTAAGGAAATCTCAGGTTGCTATGCATACATATTAGATGTGACTGACGTGCTTGTATTTGTATAAACAAATAGAGAGCATTTTTCCCCCTATCTTATGGTTTGTTCTGTTTATTGGCGGGTGACTTGTCCAATTGTCTCTCTTAAGTTTGCATGTTTACTGTTCAAGCTTTGTGCACAATTGCCCATACAATTCTTGTCACTAGAAAGGAGGGTGTCATTTGAACCAATGGTTTGTTATATTTGGTTCTTTTGAATATGACACCCTTGTCCAATTATTTGGGTATAAAACTGAATATCCATCATCCTATGTAAACTTTTTCATTATTTGATTATTTTGCAAGAGGTTATAGGTTCAAATTTCTGTGCTGGTATTGTAACTCTTCCCCCTTCCAGAACTAAAAGATATCTTGTATATAATATCTGGATTAATGCAGTTAATTAATTGCACATGTTGTCGTGTGATCAATTTCATGCTTATGGCTAATAAGGAGCATTATAAATGCAGTTCAACAAAAACAAAGCTACTGCTACGTATGGAGTACTTCCTGCTGCCAATGTCCCTCCACCTTATGCCCTTGCATCAATTTCAGCTTTACAATTTGACCACTTTGGACATCGGTTTGCCAGTGCCGCATTAGATGGAACTGTCTGCACATGGCAACTGGAGGTTGGAGGAAGGAGCAATGTCCGTCCAACAGAATCATCTCTCTGCTTTAATGGTCATGCATCGTATGTACTTTTTCTTTCTCTACTTATAAAACAATTGTTTAGATTGATAGATATTAGAGATATTATTCATATTTTATTGTTTCCCTCGATTCTTTCCTAGTTTCCTTAGCTCATTCTAATCCTAAAACTTTGGGGATTGATTGATTACATAATTCATGTATATAAATATTGTGCAGTATGATGTAAATGTAATACAATTATTCATTCCCTGCAATTATAATTTTAGTCACCCTTGATTTTAAGCTGTTTCTGGGAGGTAACTGTTGGTTCAGAATATGCATCACCTAAATTACTATAACCTTGTAAAGAGAGATATTTTTCATTCTCTGGTCTGCAGTACAGACAGAAATTGACTTTCTAAATTTTCTTTCCCTTGGGGGCCCCTTTTTTACCACATTTTTTACCCTATGTGGTTGTTCTAGTTATGTTGAACACCCACAAATGAAGGACAAGGTTAGATTTGACCTCATATCATCAAAGTTAGAACTGGCTTGAAAATAAAACTGCATCCATAATCATGATTTATGAATTAATCATTTCACTGTTGTTTAGGATGGGGTTCAACAAGTTTGAGTTTTATATTTTGTTGACATGTTTATTTGTTATTTTTCTTCTTAATAAAGATGTTATTTTGCTCTTATTTAAATGCAAATCTATTCTACATTTGATTTCAGGGATGTCACATATTTTTCTTCAAGTGGATCGATAATAGCTGTGGCTGGATATAGCTCTAGTGGTGTTAATGTTGTCATATGGGACACTTTAGCTCCACCTACTACTTCTCGGGCTTCCATTTTATGTCATGAAGGTCTTTCTCTAAATTAGATTTAGTAATGAATGCTTATACATGTTATGTATTATAAACAGGTTTAACTTACTTCCTATTCGTTGACCAATTCCTGTTGGTTCAGCTCCCATTCCTTCCCGAGCATCTACACCCGCTCTGGTTCTTCTTGTTGTTTGCTTCCTGCCATGCCCAAGACTAGATATCAGGAGGAGTGTGAAGTTTGCTGAATTAGATATTTGCGAATAACCTAGCATTAAAACTGGATAAGTTGATACCATATTAAAAATAGACTGGCCTAACTCACGCTCAAAAGATAGCTCAAGGGGAGAGAAGTGTTCTGGTCATATCCTTAAACAATGTAGGACATCTTAATATCATTAACTAACTATTCCAAAAGGACAAGCTATTAGATGAAGGTACATGAGTGGTATAATATTTTTATAACATCTCTAATATGCCCCCAAACTAGACCCATTGAGCTTGACATGTGGCCCTAACTTGTGTAATTTCAATTTTTTTATTTGAAAAATGGTGGCAGCAAGAGTGGAACTCTAGACCATATGGTTGTAGAGACTCTGATGCTTTGAGGTACGAACACCTCTCTTGTATGAAGTGTTGCATTGTTGGACATGTTTCCGACACTGAAACTCTTCGACACTTGCCCAACAATTCTTATTAGGTGTCCAATTAAAAGAAAAAATTGTTGGCTTAGACACTGGCAGACACCTTCATATGGATAAACACTCACTAATATTAAAAAAATATTAATTTTTTAACTTTTAGATAAGCCATCTTAAAATATAATATAAAACATTAAAAAATAACGTCTCTTGCCTTCTTTTTTGAGGTTTGTTATCATAGGAAAAACATAGAAGGTTGGCTTAAAAAGGTGAATATACCTTCAATTTAGATCTTTTGTTATGCTACTCATATTTCATCTCATTGGAGTCTCTCTCAGTGTGTATGTAGTGTTCCGGTATCCTATATTTTAGACATTAAATGTGTTAGTATTTGTTTCCATGTCTTTTCCAATGCTCATGTTAGAATTCGTGCTTCATAGATGTCAATGTGATTAATCAACTATTTCTAAAGCCTGAGTTGTTAGGAAAAGGTACAAAAATGGTTTTATATTTTTATAACATCTCTTACATGTCAAGATCTGACTATCCTAAAAGCTTAAAATATTGGGCAAAGGCATATGAATGATCTTTATATCTAACATGTTCCCTCACACAAGTCCCAAGGACCTTGAAGCATAGACAATGTGAAGGCCCACCCTGCCTTGTTCTAAAATTTAACCTCTACTTAGAATAACAGAGGCCACAAGTATCAAACTCTAGAGTCTAGACTGCTAGGTCTTCAGATTGAAGTTCTAATACCATTTCGTGAATCAATTATGCCAAAAGCTTAAGCTATTGGGTAAAGACACATTAATGATTTTATATCTAACAATATGTAATATAATTGAATCATTGAATTTTCATGTATCCATATAGAATTTGTTGAAATTTGGATGGAGTTGCAAATTATTGCATGATTAAACTTTCTTTTTAAGAAAAATAAACTTTTAATCAGGGTTGGATTGTGCCTTTGTATCTTGTCCTTAAAATCTGAAACTTCCAGTGCTGAAATGTTCTTTAATCAAAGGTTTCTATAGCCCATTCTTTAGATTTGAACATGCATACTGATACTGACTTTGTGCTTTAGTATATTTTTCTGTGAAGGGTGAATTATGTTCTTAAGGTTTTTATCATTTTTTCCTTTAAAAAAGGGGTTTATGTCCTGTTTCATTCATGAAATTTGCCCATGTCTTATCACATTTCCAACATTGCCTCTTGTTTTCTGAAGGTGGTGCAAACACCGTATCTGTTTTTGATAATCATGTGGGAAGTGGTTCTGTATCCCCCCTTATTGTGACTGGTGGTAAAGGTGGTGATGTTGGACTTCATGACTTTCGCTATATAGCTACTGGAAAGGCTAAAAGGCACAGGCATGCTGATAATATTGGGCAAAGCTCTATCTCATCTTCGCCTCGTGGCAAGGACCAGAATGTAGATGGGATGCTTTGGTACATTCCAAAGGCTCACTCAGGTGAAGAGAGTTTATTTGCACCGGTAGTAATGGTTTATTCTTTTTCTAATGATTTCAGCTTAAATTTAATGATCATAGGGAGTGTCACAAAAGTAGTTACCATCCCAAATACCAGCTTGTTTTTAACTGGAAGCACAGATGGAGATGTCAAACTCTGGGATGCCCAGAGCACAAAGTTAGTACATCACTGGTCAAAGATACATGAAAAGCACACCTTTCTGCAGCCTAACTCTCGTGGATTTGGTGGTGTTGTCCGGGTAATTTTTTTTCATAATTTTATATTAAATTTTTATGTTTCTTAATGTGTATAACACCAAATTCACCTATTTTACACGTAACAGACACTCCCACCATTGCCAGTGCCTGTTGGCTGTGAAATCATATCTGCTTTACGCAACAAAAATTAGTCTCTAGCTAAATGAATTGTGCCAACAGTGCTATTTTAAAGTTTAAACAAATAAGTATAGTGCATGTTACCGTTGAAAATCTACAAAACCACATTGAGCTGAAAAGACAATTTTTTACTTCTTAGTGTATGTTTGGATTTCCGTTTGAGAAGCTTCAAACGGACAATCCCAATTTCCAAAGCACAAAATGGAGAAGCAAGTGTGAGGTATCTTTTAGATGAACGTACGTTCACATTTAGACGAACATTTATACAAACACACCCTTAGTTGGTACATTGGAATGTGTGAATACCTGTTTGCATTGATGCAAACAAGTTTCCAAACACACCCAAGAGAAGAGACAAAAGAGTTATCACACTAATTTAGCTTAAATTGTCACAGGCTGCTGTTACAGATATACAAGTTTTTTCCCATGGTTTTCTCACATGCGGTGGGGATGGAACAGTAAAGCTGATACGGCTGGACAATCACCTGCGTGGCCATGGAATTGAGTTATGATACTTCTGAGATCCTTTGTGTTGATGATGACAAACTCTACTATGCCACGAATGCTTCATGACAGTGGTCATCATTGGTGAGAGGTTGTTATCATTTTCTGCATTATTGGCTTCTTCAACAACTTACATGGGAAATGTGAACATTGCTGAAGCCACCATCCATTTTGAAAAGGATTCTTCATTGTTATGTTCAGATATCCAAAAAATCTGCAACATGGGCTAGCCATACGTCCCGGGATATATACATCTCATGCTAGTGAACCTCATTGCTTCTTTGAACAGATTGCTTGGGTTCATTTTGATTCGAGTCATTCTATCAGCACGGACCAAAACTTTAGTCAGTGGCTGTCGGCATGTAAGTGTTTTTAGTTATGAATACCTCTCGAGGCTAGCAAATTTTTTAAGAGAAAACTAGTGTTTGTTCTTGGTGTATATTACCAATTTGAATTTGTTGAAGCATGTGAGTATAGTTTATACAAATACGAGGAAGGAGGTCATGTTTTGGCTATTTTTCTGTTAGATCCTCTAGTGAGCTTGGTTTTGTTTACATTTGTAGTCATACGTTGCAGCTTGTATATATAAAGAAATTGTGTCAGTGATGTTAAGAACTTGAGGAAAGTTATAACTTTTGTGAGGCATAAAGCTTTTTCTTTTCCTGTGCAACAGTAATCAGATGAGAAACATACTACCATGTGTCTACAGTGTTTTTTCTGGTCTAAAATTGGCATCTTGTTAACTCACGCGATTAAGATTATAATTAAAGATTAACACTGATTTCTGAAATGAGTATTTTATTTTAATTGAAGAGTGGTACAAAAAATATACTTATTAGGGGTGTTCAAAAAACTATATTAAACTAAACTATTGTAAAAATTAAACTAGACTATAAAAAATTAAATTAAATTTTATAAAAACTAAACTAAACTATATGTTAAGTTTAGTTTTTAAAAACTAAACTATTATAAAAAGTAGTTTAGAGCACTTTAATTATAAAAAAAAGTTATAATTAAGAAATGTTCTAAATAATTAATTAAAACTAAACTAATAAATAATTAAACTGGATTAAACTAGAAAAAACTCAATTATTTTTATAAAAATTGAACTAAAATGAATTTTATGTTCAGTTTTATAAATTTTAAATTTTTTTTAAAGAGTAGTTTGTTAGACTAAAATGTTAATATGAATTCTCATTATTAATATTTTTTACATAACTTTTCAATTTTGCCTATTGTTCACTGTTGAGTCAGTATACCAGTAGTTTAGTGTTACCGTTGATAATTACACATTTTTGTTTTGGTTACAGAATTTTGCTATGGTGATTTAATTCACAGGATTAAAAAAAATAATTTTTATTTATTAATTGAACAAAAATTTATATCTCTTTTGATAATTATTACTCTTTCTATATTTTTAATATAATTATTATAAAAGTTAAAAAAAAATGTATTATATATGTGTGTACAAACTTATCTCTTTATTATCCAAATAATTTTATTTTTGATGGTAAAAAAATATTATTTTAATAAAAAAATATAATATTAATTAGTTGAGTTTAATGATTGAGTTTGCAACATTATAAAAGTAATGGTATACATTTTTATAATATTTTTTTTAAAGTTATACTATTTTGTAAAGAATGCATTAATTAAATAGATAGTTACATATAATATTTAGATATTATTTTTAATTTTTTTATTTAATAATTAATAAGATCAGTAAGCTCATTGAAAATTAGAGTCTTTATTAAGATACTTTATTTTTTTTCATAGTCTTTGTTCTATGACATCGAACTAGTTTATGAACTCGTCAAAAATCAAATTACTAAAAAATAGCATAATAATCATGGATTATGATAAATTTATTTATTTATTTTTAGTATAAGTTTGACCATAAAAAAATTAAAAAATTAAAATTGAAAAGACATTTTTTTAAAATGCATTTGAATTCAGTTTATAATAATAATAATAATAATCATAATAAGTAGTAGTAGTTAGTTTAGTATAAATTATAGTATAGTTCAAACTTAAGAACTATAGTTCACATAAAATAGTTTAGTTCAATTTTTTGGAATTATTTTTTAGTTCAATTCAGTTTAATCAAACTACAATTATAGTTTAGTTTAGTTCACATATAGTTTAGTTTAGTTCATCTATTTGAACAACCCTAATACTTATGGTGTGTTTGGATACAAATTCAAAAAATTTTAAATTCTTGATATTTAAATTATTTTGATTTCAATTTCTATCATTCTTAAAATATTTTATTTGGATAAGTCAATTTAAATTTATCAAATTTTAAATTGTTAGGTTGGATATGATAATTTGATTCTACCATAATAAAATTGATTTTAAAAATATATATATATGTCAGAATTTTTAAATTAAATTTTATAAAAATAAATATTAACTAAATTTTAAATATTTAATAATTTTAAAAATTAATATTAGATAATATTTAATAATTTTAAAAATATTTTTAAATATTCAATAATTAAAAACATTAAGAGGTAATAGATAAGATAAAATATATAAGTGAAATAAGAAAAAAAATATGAGAAATTTTAAAATCTTACTTTTTCGGGAGAATTTGAAATTCTACTATTTCAAGAAATTTCACAAACACTTGAATTTCAAATTCATTATAAATTATCCATCCAAATATGGTATTTGACCTCAAAAAATTTGAAATTCTTCAAACAAATGAATTACTCTATTTAAATTCTCTACCCAAACACACTATTAAATTTTGTCCTTAAATTTTTTGTGTATTTAAATGTGAAGGCACGACAAAGATAGTAAACAAATATAACAATGGCTAGTTTTGCGCTTATACTTGAATTGAGGTTCGTGATGTGGTTGCTTTGGAGGTGTACATTAGCACATGGAATGAAAAATAATTTTTAAAATTTTACAAATTTATACTCTTTAACCATTAAATAATTTTTTTTTTATTTTAATAGTTAAATTATATATCATGAATTATTAAATAAAATAACTCTATTAACAAATTAATATAAAATGAGAAACATCATGATAAAGGACTCTGAGTAATAGCCTTGTGTGAGCTAATTCATTGCAGATTGAGAAGATACAATACTCTGCATATATATAGCAGCTGAAAACAAGAAAGAGAAAAAAACAGAATGCAGAATCAAAAATAACAGAAATGCAATACAGGAAGGAATAATCAGAATGAGGACAGCTAGCAGGGACAGCTGGCAGGTTTGTTGCAAGGCTAAGGTGACTCAGCCAATTGTGAAGATGGTTGTAATATAATATACATATATATTCTATCACTTCAATCAATACACTTCAATTTTTATTTTGTATATTTTATATTTTTATAGAAATCCAAGATAATTAACATTGTATAAATGCAATTTTGAGTTAGTGTTATTGACACAATATTTATTAATTTTTTGATGATTAATTTTTTTTTGTTAAGAATTAATCTAACCGACTATTTTCGGTAAAAAAAAAAAAATTCAATCATTTTTTCCCAATCTACAATGCTCCAATTTGATATAGTAGATGTAGTTTAATCCCCATAAATATGATAAGATATATCCAAATAAACATTTGTGCTTTCCTGACTCAAACACGTTACTGCATAATTCCACCCATTTTTTATGGATAAATTAAAGTTTATAAAAAGTAAATATATGAGAAATAATTTTATTTATTAATAAACGTTGTTTTAATTTGTAATTTTTCAAGAATGCCTGTCAGAAATCTCAATGGACTATAAATACAAAATTGAAAAGAAAAAAAAACTTTCAAGAAGTGTTTGTTCTTAGTTCTTACATTCACCTGCTTGCCTTGAATAATGAATAATCATCTTTTCTTCACTTGGCAACCAAAAGTGAAACGTGGATCACAACCCATTGTAATTTGTAAATACTAACCCCAACCACAATAAAACAATGGGTAAGCCCACTGATTATGAACTTTGTGTTGACACACAACGTAATTGTGATTTAAATTCAGTCCACGCCATGTTAGTTGCAATATGATGTCTTGTCAACCGTACAAAACATAGATATAAATTTAACATCCAATTGAAGATATAATTTTGAGTAAGTAATTTATATTAGTCTTTGAAATTTTGTTATTTTAATTTTAAAATTTAATTATTATTTTTTGTTAATGTTTAATTTTCTTAGACAATGATATCTCAGAAAATTAGAGATTTGAATGTAGGAATGGAATTAGTAAAAGTGGTAATCAGGGCACACTGGAAGAAACTCTTCTATAAGTTCCATGTAACAATGATGTCTCATCTTTTGAGAATTTGGTGGATCAGATATCAGCCGTCCAAATCTTGTTCACGTGCCACGTGTCAGACTGAAATTGTTCTGATCTTATGATGCGGTTTGATCCTGAAAAAACCTGAAACCACCGATCGTCGTAGAATGTTTTTTTCCCAGTGGGCCCCACCATTTAACAAAGACCACGAAGGTGAGACATATCTGTCAGAAACGACGCCGTAACACCGGTCCATAACACTGCTTGCGGAAACCAACAACATACGAAAACAACGTAAGCAGTCACGACACGAAAGCCATCAATGTCATCACCTCTCATAAACACTACCATCTTCTTCTTAATTGCTTTTAATTCTTGTGATCTCAATCTCATTCCCTTTTTTTCAATCTTCAACTTCCTTTCTCTTTCATCCACTTGCATGAACTTTGTGTTTGCATGGAGTTCTCGTCATCTTTCATTTGAATGCTCGAGTTTTATGTGGTTAGTGTTTCACTCACAACTTACATTATGTTAATGTTATGCTTGCACTTCCATGAGTGATTGTGTGATGTTCTGGATGTTCTAGATTTTTGTATTCTCTCTCTTTATCTTCTCTTTGTTTTCATTTGTGTGCTTCTCGACCATTCTCGTAAGTTTTGGTAAATATTCAATTCCAAGTCTCAAATTTTTCAGTACACTACAACCCATGTTGAGATTTTGCATTTTTTTTATTTATTGTTATGTGCTCCCTTCCCCTTTTGAATATCGTGTGTCATCTGGGGAGTGTGTGAAGAAAATCCAAAACTCTGTTACGGTTTTTGTGAAAATTGAGAACTTTACATTGGATGTGTGCATGTTACAGCAAAACTATTATCTGTTTCTATTTCTATTTCTTTATCTCAATGTTTTATTTATTCTATTTTATTATCATTTTTGAATCAATAATATATACACTGTCGAGCAATCAGAAATTGTCATGTAAAGTAAGTTTGTTGATTTAAGGATAATTTCTTATTGGTTTACTAGTAATAGTTTTAGATATGCAGTACATACATGCCTATTAAACTCCTCCACATAATGCATAAATTCCTTTATTTGATTTTGGATCCACATTTTTGTTTTGCACAGAAATTATGAAGAATAGGTGAAAAGATGGTCACAGCAGATATGAGGGCTGCGTGGCAGAGAGCTGTTAACCGTTGCTTTGTCCAAGAAGACACAAAAAGAGCTCCCAAGTTGGCTTATTGTCAATCTTCATGCGCAACATCAAAATTGGTTAATGCTGAACCAGCCAGTGCTGCTGATGAATCTGATCATGTTGCTGTTAATGTTACCCATTTTAACCAGAACTCTTCATTCTCTATTGCAACTCCTGACTCAAGATGGTGGTTGCAATTGCAACCTAACTATGGCTTTCAAAAAGGTTTATCATATGAAAACTTAAATGGATTGGAGGATCGAGTTGAAGATTTGAAAGTTAGTAATGAAAATAAGACATGTAAAGGAGATGCTACACATGACTATAGTAAAAATTCTCAAGCATATCCTCAGCTAGTGGATATGATAGCTAAACATGAGAAAATGGAGACTGATTCTGTTGGTTGTTCAGAGTCCAAGCAAACAAATGATTTATCCTTTGATTCTGATTATTCTTGGATTGGAGTTGAGAAGGCACGGCCATGGTGGAGAACTACAGATAGAGATGAGTTAGCTTCTTTGGTTTCGTGCAAATCATTCAACCATGTTGAGAATTGTGACCTTCCACCTCCACAGAAGTATCTCGGAGGACAATCATGTGCTGATATCAGTGATATCAAAATAAGAACAACATCTTCCGACTGGCAAGCCAAATCCAGTGTCTTTTCCAATTTCAGTGTTCAAGCAAAGGAAAGTTTAGGATCAGGGTTGATGCATAGGAAGCTGGGGCCTTCAACCAATAAAGGGCGCGTACATGTTGATTGTGACAAATATTCAAGGTATTTTCATGTTCATTTTTGTTGGTTAACTTGGTTGCACTAGCACCTTGTGTGGCTATAATTTACTCCCAAAATATTTTTAATCAAACAAGTTACAAACTGGGGAAATGGTGTATTTTAGGAAATTGGTTCATCTCATTGTTTTGTCCCAGGGTCTCACGATGCTATATCTTTAATTTTTCAGTAAATTACACTGAAACTCATTGAAGATTTTGAGATTGATCACGATTCCATGCCTTTATAACATTTTAGCAATTGGTGTAATGTGTTTCTTGGGTAGCAAGGGGTGTCAATCTAATGTAACAGAGGTGTTAGTGTAATGTATTTCAAACAATTAAGGAGAGTTAGCATAAGAAAAAAAAAGGAGTAATATCAGAAGAAATTTTACAAAACCTCAGAAAGTGTTATTGTAATTTATTGTTAATTTTTTTGTGTGTGTGGTTGAGTCACTTAAGTGAATAAAACTGTCCATATGGATTTGGAGCATGGAAATTAGTTTTCAAATGAATTTGCTTGGAATTGAAATTTTGTTGCAGTTATCCCACCATCCATGGGGGTGTCACAGTCACAGAACAAGATTTTGAGGGAGACCATCCTAGTAAAGCTCAACTTATGGAAGCATTGTGCCATTCCCAAACACGTGCAAGGGAAGCAGAGGAGATAGCAAAACAGGCTTGTGCCGAAAAGGAGCACATCATTGCACTCTTCTTCATACAGGCTTCACAACTTTTTGCCTATAAACAATGGTTTCAACTGTTGCAGCTGAAAGATCTTAACCCTCATGAGGACCAGCCAATCTCTACTCCCTTTCCTGTGGCTCTTCCATGGATAGGTAGGAAACCATGCAAGAAAAAGATAAAATTTGGCAATGCCAAACAAGAAATGCTTGGCAACACAAAAAGTGACATTACATCATATGCTGTTGCATTTGCTTTAGGATTGAGTCTTGTTGGAGCTGGCTTACTCTTAGGATGGGCAGTTGGTTGCATGTTACCTTGTTCATAGTTTTGTAGGATTTAGAGCCTTGCTTTGCATGAAGATTGGTAAACAAAGGAAATTGGTTATATTAGAGAAAGAAGCTCAATTTGTTCCATCAAATGTGTATGTAGAAATGTGTATGTAGTTTTGTAGATCTGTTGGTGAGTAACGTACATTCTGCATTGCATTTTTTAAACGAGTACTATTAGTTATGTACATAAATATATGTATTTCTTTGAATCTTTTCAAATATCCCATAGGAAATTGATCTAAACCAGAGAAAGGAAAGTGTAAATTCTGCATTGTCGCGTCAAGTCGGGGCCAGGTTTTTTTTTTCTTCCCCTCCATTTTTAGTTTAACTTGCACATTTTTGTTGGGTTATTTGAGCTATACAATTGGTGGGGTCTAACCCAATTTCACCCTCCTCCTGGTGCAATTGTGTTTTACTTTTACCATTTAGATTTTCTTAATTTCTTTTTAAAATGATAATAAAAGAGTTCAATTTATGAAAAAAAAAAAAAAAAAGTTACTATGCATGAACGCTATAAAACAGTTTTGCACTGTTGCTACAGAAGTTAAACTTCTATCATGAGTCAAAGACCACAGATCATGTGACAAGCCTAAAAAGGGATTCAGATTGTTGACATTCACACGCACATCTAATTCAAATTACTAAAACATCATGCCATATTAATAAATAGGATGATATAATAAAGTGGTAAAATCTTATTAGATTTCATCGTAAAGATAGTTTACACCGATAATGTATACAATTTAAATTTATAATAAAGCATGATTTGTTGAGTGAATGTTTATGTCAAGTGCTTTAGGTTCGCAATAAATAAGGTATGATACTAGATTATAATCACAAGGTCAATAATAGAGACGGTCAACAATAATATTAGGTATTCAAAGTATGTTATATCATCATCCTTTGAGTTGTGTGGCTATAGCAAATGTCACTGCAGCTGATCTGTTGAAATAACTTGTGTTGGTGAGAAAAATTTCTTCGAGCACGAATTGACCATTGATTTTCATGGTCCATTCTTTAATATCCATTAGGACCGAAACCGTTTTCATAAAAAGCCAAAATAAATAAATGCTGTACAAATTTGGAATGCCATAAGCTACCAAAAAAAAGTCTGAAATTTACTAATTTAAAAGATGCTGTATACAGAGTTTACTTCTTATAGTATTTTGTGTTGTTTTGGTTCTTGAAAGTGCACATTTATATGGTCTACATAGGTGTCAAATTACTAACAAGTTTATCTTATCAAATTGTTAACTAATAAACAATCTTATGCGATAAAGAACTAATTTACACACGTGAAACATTTTTAAACAGTGAAATTTTAATGGCTTAAATTATGTATTAATTTTAAATGTGAAATTGACCTTTTAATTAAATCGTTTATAACAAAAAAAATATATATTTATTTGTAATTTCAATTAAAATGTGAAAAGAAAAATTATAAGTGTTTGTTTGGTCTTTGAATTGAGTACAGAATTGGAGCTTGAAATTGAAATTAGTCACATTAATTCTAAATTTTAAATTGTACTTTCTAAAAAATCACAATCATAAATGCTTTGGTTATTAAGAAAAAGTCAAGTCTTGTATAAATTAAAAATAAGATAATTAAAGAATATATAAATAAAATAATTTTTACTTTATAAACTTGTTTCATAAGGATTAAGTTAGACTTAAACATACTTTTTAAGATAATATTATAAGCTAATAGTGACATGGAGAGTGAATTGAAAAGAAAAGAAAAACTCATATCTCATCTATTTTAGATAATTAAAGAATATATAACTAAAAAATAACTCTCATCTTATAACGGTTGAATTATATTTAAATTCACTTCATAATAATGTCGTTTTCAATTTCTAACGAACACATTGAAAATTGTGGATTCCGCACCCATATATTACACTCAAATGCTTTGCTAATTTCAACTCTAGTTGCAACTACTGTTGCATCCATTAATTAGTAGATAATTTTTTTTTCAAACCTGACTTGTGTATCCTATTTTAGAGGCTTCAAAATATATATGCTTAAAACTAGGAGCTAACCCAATCAAATTATTATATTTAAACTATTAAATAATAGTATATAAATATCTTAATAAAAATATAATTAATTTTATTTTCAAACTTTAGTCTTTAGACCATATATCCATACAAAAGAATTCAAATTGAATTCAACATTTTAATTCTACATATAATTTCTCATATAACTGAAATATAACATCTATAATTTTGAATAAACTCCAATTTATAAAAATTATGAAATTTTATATTAAAATTCTAAAATACAAAAGTAATCTCTACTAAAAAAATATATGATTAACCATATTTAGTGAAATTCAAATTCAAAACTTCACTTAAAAATATTAAATCCAATTTCATTTAAACTAACAACTTGTCGGTAGAATTCATAATTCAAGTACTACATTGACTAGAGATTAAGCAATTAAATAATATATAAATGAAAAGCAACTCTCACCTTACAAGCCAGTTTTGTAAGGTTGAGTTAGACTTAAATCCACTATTCTAAGACATCTATATTGATTGATTGATTTATTTTTTTATTTGTCCTGTACCATAAACAAGTACAACTCACTTAAGGAAAAATAATTATTGATTGATTTATTTTTTTATTTGTTCTGTTCCATAATTTTTTATTTGGATTTTCCTTCCTTGCTAAGGGCAGAGGTTTCTGTTTTTCTTATTTTTATTTTTGAATGACAGTGGGTGGCTCTGTCATCATGGGCTATAAGCAAGGTTAGCATTGAATAGATATCACTCCTGCTAGATTCCATTAAGATAACATATAATGAAGGTTTGAAAATTTGTACATATTGATTGTCCTATGACAATAACATAAAGTTTGAACAGCATGGAAGCAATCCAAAGTTACAGTGGTATAATAGCAAAAGATGAAACAGGTTCTGAATGCCACCTGTGACTCTGATTTGCACAAATACAAGAGAAAGATAAAAACAGTACATGATATGGCAGTGAAAGGTATCCAATATAACATCATAATCAATTTTGACCATACCAAACCGAAGGTCCCAGAACACAAGCCTAAGGCCACCCACATCCATATTTCTTCACTTTTTTACTCCTCAATGAAACCACCCGCTTCAACCCCTCATACATCTTTGTCTGCAAAATTCAAAAGTCGTGCAGCATTACATTAGGGACCATGTTAACTTTTTCGATACCATCTTACACACAAAAAAACACAATTTTTTTTACTCCTTTATGCTACCCTCCACCCCAAATTACTACTTTGGACAAGTGGAGTCGGTCCCTCAATTTTCAGATTTCTATTTGCACCAATCACACTAATTCGATTATTTCTCCCAACAAATTAAAGTCTTGTGACCATAACTCTTGTAAGATATTTAAGTCCAGAAATGGAACTCTTGTAACACACTTAAAATAAACTGAATTATATGTTGTGATGCACTTTTATGGTCTCTAAGCATTATTATTGTTACTATTCCAATTGCATGTCGCTATTTGCTGTATTAATGATAACACAGAAACACATTAGAAGAAAATCTCGCATACACTAAACTAGGAGCTTCTTTGAATAAAAGTTAAGAACTCCTTTCAAAAGCTTCTTTATTAAAAATAAATAGTATTTAAGTAAAAAAGTTCTAAAAACATTTTTAAATTTGTTTTCAATCAGGCCCAAGTTGACTTAGATCCTTTACTATTAGCCAAAAATAATTCTACACACAGTTTCCTCCACTAAAAAAGAGTAACTTTAGTACACTGAAATCCCTCATTCTTAAAATCATATTCGATCTTGACTTCAAAACCCAGATTACAAGTTGATAAAAAGCTACATGCTTTATACATTATAACACAAGTTTTAGCAAAGTACAACATCAAGCACTGAGAAAATCTCCAAGCAGAACCAAATAAAAGCAGAGAAAACAAGGCATAAACAGTGTTGAAAGCTGAAAACATACCCAAACACTAGACTCGGCATGGAAGGGGTTAGTAAATCTGGCAGAGCGGTCCCTCTTTCTCATACTCCTCACCCTCTTGGTAGTGCCTAAAACGCTGGCAACATGATCATCAGGATCCTTGTCAAGAGAAGATGGAAAGACATGACTACCCCCAGTGGCTTCTCTTTTCAAAGCCTTTTCCCTCCAAGAACCAAACAAGCCTTTCTCCTTCTCCACTTGGTTGAGGACCATGTTGCCAAGTTGCCCTCTTTGAGAGCCATACAAGTCCTCAGTGATTCTGAAAGATGGGGAGTGGCAAGTGTTGGTGGGGTAGGGTCCCTCCAAGACAGTGGTGGGTGAGGAATGTAGCAGCAACCTTGGAGGGAGTTCCAAGGACTTGGGAGTAGTAGGGTTGGAGAAGGGCACAAGGGCAGTGCATGGCCTTGGCTTCCCTGGCTCCTCTTCCCAACCAAATGGGACTGAGGCTGAGGTGAAAAGTGGAGGAGTTTGCATCCCTGATCTCTCTGGAGAGTGCATTGTTGGAGGGTTCAGCAAGGGTAGCCTTGGAACCTTGCACTCATCTTCTTCAAACTCTACTTCACAACCACCCATCACTAATCACTACTCTTTCTCTCTCTCTCTCTCTATCTCTATCTCACTGCACACACTCTTTGTGTGTTGCAACTACGAATGCTGGCTTTTGAGTTTTGACTATGCTTTTGATGACATAAAGAAGAAAAGACAATATTGCAATGTGGAAGAGATCAAGGGAAGCTCCTCGGCCGAAAAGGTTGCCTCTTTCGGTGATAATGTCATTTCTCTTAGATAGATAAATTAAGTTCAAAAGATTTTTTTTTTTATTTTACAATAATGTCCTAAAACTTCCTCTCTTATCTAACAAAAATATTATTTTCTTTAGGCAATTTAATATTCGTAGTTTATTTTATTAAGAATTAGAGTTTAATTCCTAATTTAGATCGTCCAAATCGAAGTAATTACTTTTTTTTTTATAAAATTGCCGTGTAATAGTGAGTTATATTTTTTTAATTAAAAATGATTAATTGTATTTTTTACTTATCTTTATATTCTTACAATTTTTAAGATCATATTTTTAAATTTCCACATTTTATCATTAAATATTTAAGTTTTTACGTTATGCTAATAATCAACACATCATGTCAAATTTGAGTTAGTCATAATATGAGAAGAATAAAATTCTAATTTTAATTTCCTTTTAAAAAAATATTTTATTTAATATTTATATAATTTTTAAGATCTATAATTTAAAAATTAATTTTTTATTTTTAAAAAATTATTTTTAAAATTATATAAATATGATTTTTTAAAGATCATTTTAAAAAAAATTACTTCAAGATTTGTTTTAAATATAATAATGTGTTAGGTTGATGTTGTCAAGTGTTTAACATATCATATTATGAATTAATTAATAATAATAAATAATTAATTAACGAAATGATAAAAAAAAAGTGGTTCCCTACGTGTACATTGAGAAATAATGTGCTTACATTGATTGGGGTTGGGGACTTGAATTTCTTCACACGTTAGCCATTGTGGGGGCGCTTGTTGCGCGGAGAACTCCTTCACATTGTTTTAAAACCCGGACCGACCCGGCCGTTGGACCGAGAACCGGTAGTCCAGCCGGTCTGAATCTGAAGTTGGATCGGTTATGCAGTCGATCCGTTTCAAACCGGATTGAACCGGTCAATTTTCCAGTTCAACCGGTGAACCGGTGGGTCAAATCGGTTCAACCACTTTTTTTTCTTATTTTTTTTAAAAAAATTTTAAGGGACCATAAATATCACAAAAATAATAATGAAAATTGAATCTCTTAATAAAAAAGCAAGGAGTCTTATTAAATATAACAATGACTACTTGTTCTAATATATTTGTTTGCAATATATACAACTTAAATAACTTTTATAATATATTATTAATTTTAAATTATATATTTAATAATGTAATATCTATGTAAATATTACATATATTATTTTGTGATATTAATTGCAAGCATATTATATATGTACATATTATTTATATTTTTAATTTGTATTAATATACCGTTTAACATGTAATTTTTTTATGTATTTTTTTACAAAATAAAAATAAAAATAATTTTAAATAAGATAGAAAAATTGAAATTTAAAATAAGATATAAATTTATTAAAATTTATAAGTATAAAATATATTTAATATGAATATTTTTTAATAAAAATAAATAAAAATCGAGTCATGCGGTTCAACTAGTGACCAACCGGTTCAACCTTTGACCCACTGACCCAGTACCTTAACCGGTTCGATGACCGGTCCGGTTTTTAAAACTATACTCCTTCGATTCCAATTCTTTTTTTTTTTTTACTGCCTAATTATTTCATCATTGCCTTACTTTTACAAAGTCACTGAGTGGTTTTAGTATCAAATCAAATGAATTTGTTGATGTCAAAGTCAAACTAAAAACTTGAGCATTTATTGAATAGCTTACGTGGAAGAGACTACAACTTCGGTTGTGGACCTCATTTTTAGTGTATAAAGCATTTGTCGCCCGCGGGTAAGGGTTCCTAAAATTTATTTTTTTTTTAAAGAAATTGTTTTTCTCAAGTTTATTTTAGTTCAAATAATTTTGAAATCAACTGATTTTTTTTCTGAATTCTTTCTTTTACTTGTACTTTAACATGTAAATTTCACAACTTAAATGTTTATTAAATATAATTAAATTATATATAAATAAATAAATATTATACTTAAATATATATTTAAAATTTATATAAATGATTATTTTAATTATAAATTATATTTTTTAGATTTAAAATAAATAATTTATATTATAGTACAAAATTATTTTTATTTATTGATAATTTATTTTAAAAATATTAAAGTTTAATACATAAATAAATATGAAATTGATTTATATGATAGGATAATTGATTTTAAAGATATTAATTTATTTTAAAATTAAATTTTGTAAAATAAATAGTAGTGAATTTTTAAATAATAAATTATTTTTTAAAAAATTAGATAATATTTAAAAATTATATAAAAAAATTCAATAATTAAATAAAAACTATTGATATTTTTTATGAGAGAAAGTGAGAGAAGATAAATGAGAGAGAGAGAGAGAGCAATAGGAAGATAGGAAATAGGAGAGAGAGGAAGAATAAAAAGATAAAAGATAAATAAGTGAGATAAAAAATATATGAAAAATTTTAAATTCTTACTTTTTTAGAATAATTTGAAATTCTGCTATTTTAAAAAATTTATCAAATACTTAAATTTTAAATTATTTAAGAATTTTTTTATCTAAATAAAATATTTTAACTTTAAAGTATTTAAAATTTATTATAAAAATGAATTATTTTCTTAAATTTTCTCATCCAAATATACTAAATAATTCTTAAAAAATTTCTCATTGAAAAATAACCTCTAAAAATATTTTTTATATAAAATATATTATCACATTTAATATATAAGAGTCAATTAATTATAACATGTTTAATTGAACATAAGATGTTCAAAACTTTGAAGTTAGACCTAAAAATTTAATAGCTAATAAAAGAAACTTCTATCTTAAAATCAAATTAAAGGTAACACATGGTCCAAACATCATTTAATAGTATAACATAGTATAATATTTTTATAGATAAAAAGACAAAATAAATTTTTTTATCAAACATAAAAACTATCTAAAATTGTTTCAGTTCGGAATCAATTTCTTCACGTAAGACCGTACATATTAATAGTTACCACAAATCATGTGAACTGGTATTTTAACATAATTTGGGATGATCTAGCATGAATCTAAACACAGATTTTGTTTGAACATCGAAAAATGAAAGGAAAAAATTAAAGCGATTAGTTAATTTTCATTTAAATTGAGCGCAGGATAAATAACTAATGTAATCATGTTAAGTAAATTTTATATTTTTAATTTTTTTTTTCATAAATATGATCTATGCAATATTTCAAAATTAATAATTAAGCACTAATTTATACTAACAGAATATAATTTTTATTAATCAAATATTATATTTTTAGTTTAATAATAATTAAATAGTTGCCCAAAATTATTATTAGGGTAAAATTTATTTTTCTCTTCTCATTTTGTCCCAACTTGAAAAGAAATCATTTTGTATGTTTCCAATTTTTCTCTTTAAAAAAAGGGGTAAAATTTGTAATTTTTCTATCCATTTTTCTCGACCCATTTTCATTCCAACCAAATATGTTTTTTCTCAACTCATTTTGATTCTAACCAAATATGTTACTGGCTCAAACATCTGCATCACTCCTTTCTTTTCATGGTCTCAACTCGTTAACAAGCATGTCTCTTTTTCGTTGAAACCATATTGTGACCAAAATATATTAAAAAAAATGTGTATAAATATCATTATTTACACAGAAAATTCATTTATTTTCTACACTTTAATGCACACCTTGGCTGTATTTAACGATTCCATAGTGCATCACGTGACACATCAAATGATCCAGATTTGTTTTTTCAACTTTCAAGTATGTAATGGATTTGGACCCTAACCCTTTCTCCTACACAAACATAAGACAGATGTGGTTTGTCTTGTTGGACCAAGCCATATATTATATGATTTGGACGCAAACATCAGACATGGACTGTTATGGGCTTCATTTGTATCCACAAATTAAATGCCCTTCAAAACGAGTCATTCCTATTTGCCACCAATTTCCATTAGATTTCATACTCAGTTGATGTTCATGTTTGCTCAAATATCAGAATCTTCTACTCAAATTCGTATCAGTGCCTACATTTTTAATTTTTTTTTTTTTTTGGGTCAGTGGATAGAATTTAAAACAATATGATTTGTCCAATTCATATACCAATTGAGGAGTCCTTAAGTTGAACTTGAGATCTTTGTCATCCTTCAAATTTGAATCATATTATTCTCCCTAATATCTAATATAAAATTACCTTTAATTCTTTAACATATAAGTATGACTTACAAATTAATCGAAATTATTGTTATTTTCATAATAATTCATATCTAGATGAATTTGATCAAGCAAGCTTTGTAAAATAAATGAGTCTCTTTTGTATAGTTTGTGTCCAATCCATTTTCTCTTATACATTAATAGATTATTTTTTTTAAAAAAATAGAAAATATTATAAAAATAGTCATAACGAATCTACATCTTCTTTCAATACTTGAATTTTTTTCTTATTTCATGGCATCTATAATATTAATTAGCTATATTTTATTTTTCATACTTCACATAAGTGTGAAGTATGGTAAAAATAAGAAATGAACCAAGCATCTCTTATGCATGTGCAAAGCACCAGCAAAGAATGAGATTCAATAATGTAATGGTGCAACAATGAAATGAGAAAAGATGGTGCTCAATTATTAGATCTCTACTTCTGAATCGTACATGCATCGCTTTTGGACACGATTTTATTTTATTTGCGTATAGATGCATGCACGTAAATCTCGAAATTACAAAAAAAAAAAAGAAGAAGAAAAAAAAAGAATACACGCATAAATTGTTCAAGAATATTGAAGCCATTAACTTGGATCAAACAAAACTATGAAAAAAATGAGTGGTTAGTAGGCCTCCTAAGGCCTAATTAAAAAGAAATTTTGATTTCAAAACAATAATGGGAAATACGTCCATAGATAGTTTCTTTCTAATTATTGCATTTAGAGTTTTCTGAAGATGTAAAATCATCACAAAATAGCTTTCTAATTAGAGTTTCTTTCTAATTATTTTGAAATGTTTATGGGTAAGAACAAAGAATGTTGTTGCAAGGAACCTTGCCTCCACTTTTTGGGCAACTTATTAGAAAGGTAGAACAAACATCAAACCCTCTCATTCCAGAAAACAATTTCCATTACCCCTTTGTCTCTGTGTCTGAAACCTCACCATAGCTTATTATTAGACCAAGACTCAGCATCCCACTATTCCACATTTGCCAAATTACTTGTACATTTTTGTTTTAGTTCCAATACCTAAAAATTATATGTATTAGTTCCTATATTAAACTTTTTTTTTTTAATGTTTTAGTCTTTATTTTTTTTTTTTCTGCCAATGTTAAACCGTCGCATAATATTGACACAAGGACTTCAACATAAAAATAATTTGTTTATATTAGAGTCAGTTCTACGACGAGACTAATGAAGTCTTCACTTTAGACTTCTTTAAAAAAAAATTATTAATATTATATAATTTATTTAAGATTTTAAAACTTAAAAGTTATTTTTTACATTCTTAAAAATTTATTTTAAAATATTTATCTCTAAAAGATATATAAATATGATTATTTTTTAAAGATCCATCTCTAAAATATTTTTATTTTTTTATCAAAAAATTTATTATTAATTTTTTTAAAATTTCATTTTAATATTTATTTTAGGTCTAATAATATGATAAGTCGACACTAATTTGTATGAGAACTAAAATATAAAATTTTTAAAAATGTAAAATCATCCCAAAATAGATATAACAACTAAAACATTGAAAAATATAAGGAACAATTTTTTATTATTTTTAATTCTTTAGATGTATTTTTTTAGAAACAATTTTATCTAAAACATAATCGGATATTAAACGTAAAGAACTCTTTAACAAATATTCAAAGTTACTCGCTGCATTAGACTAACAACTTTAAGAACTACTCTCTGTGTTTTTTTTGTTTGACATTTAAGTTATGTATAAGAATTAAGAAAATGATTGATATTTTAGTTTTTCAAAATATTTATTACTTATTTTCTTGTTATATTTTTTAAGTGATTGGAGAAGAAATAAGTACATTGAAAAATGAATAAATACATTATTCAATAAATACATATTAATTATTAAAGATAAAAATAAGAAAAAAAATTAATAAATCATTGATTTTAAAAAAGTGATAATAAAAAAGAATAAAAAAATAATACCAAAATAATTATGAATAAAAAATAAAAGAAATACCTGACAAATGACATTTAGCAACTGCACAAAAAGTTGAGATGCTCGTAATTAATATAATATTTGATTTAAAAATAAAAATATTTTCTAATTAACTTTTATACAAGGTTACTCTCTCTATTCTTTTTAAGAAAAAACGCATTTTTATTTTTAAAATATCATTTTATTTCATTTTTTCTAAAATATGTCTTCCTTAGTACATGACTTTTGGATTGTACTATTTTTTTTACATTTATAATAAAGATGATTTTTTAAAAAAATATTACAAGATTAATAAAATTTAATTAGAATAATAAATTTTATCAATTCTTCTTCTTATAATAAATAAGAGAGAGGGGAATATTTTAGACTTTTGTTTATTTTCTTTTAAAAAATATTTTTTTAATTGTGTTTATTTCTGCTTTTATAAGTGACTACAAGAATAGATCAAACACTAAAAAAAGTATGAATAGAGACAAAGTCAAAGTTGATAACAACGTCCAAATTTAAATGGAAAATGGCTGTGCATTCTTTTGTAATGCCCTGTCTCTTCAAATATGAGGCGACAAATTAAATTAAGGTAAATTTCTATAATTAAAAAAAGTTTAACGTTGAGTAAAAAACAAGTTTAACGCAATTAATTGTAATTAAATGGTGATGACAATGCAAAGTGACAAGTACAAAGTTATGCAAGAATAAAATTACTCAACTTAAATGCTTTGTCAATTTTCATTTTTTAATTTCATGTCCATGAACTGTGTCTAGAAAAGATAATGCATGTTTAGAAACACATTAAAAAAAAGCAAAGAATCTCGTTAATTTATCCCAAAAACGTGAAAATTATAATTATTAACATCTAATTAAACGTAAAAAATTACATAAATATCGTGCAACCAAACATTCTAATAGTAATAAACCATGTTGTGATAATATAAGCAATAGGAGAGATCCAAAATGTAAAGACTAAACGCAAAACAATGACGAAACCCGACAGGAGTAGCAGGCAAACACAGCAGCAGAGTTTTATTTAATTTTGCTAATAAAAACCACACCAAAATATTTGTAGCCATCCATCCAAGGTGCACTTTGATCCTAGGTCAATCATTGTTTCAAAGTTTCGTATCTCAAAGACACCTAAAATTGTCTCCTCCAGTCATGTCATGTCATGTCAACATCTGTCTCACACAAGGACCCTCTGCCTCGACGCACATGAACAATCTTTCACTCTTCATATTCAAACTCTTAAACATTAACCTATGTAAAGAAAATTCCTTACACTTTATACCCAACTTATTACTGTTACATAATTCATCACACCTTAAATTTTCCCATTTAATTGACTCTCAATTCCGTAACACTTAATCAAAACATCACTTAATTCTCGTCAGACTAACTGCCATAAAAAATTGATGTCACTATCAGCGTGAAAGGCTAGTAGTATTTGCCAAAACCAAATACCAAATTGTTTTCCTTTATTTTATTAGCACCAACCCCAAAACTAACAAATTTGGCAAAACACGATAACAAGTATATGTAGAACAAACCGACACATCACAGACAGACAATCCATTAGAAATGGGAAAAGCATACTTGCTTACATGCTGATGGCACTGTGGGGGAAAAAAAGTATTCACAAATATAAGTACCTAAACTCCAACTGCACTACCCTTTTTTTTTTCTTCATATTATATAATAAGTCCACTTAAACTAGTCCACTAATCTGCTGCAGTTGCTTTGCAAGTTCCATAAAACTAAGCAATCAATGCCATCAGATACCTCTCCCCTCCCAAACCCCAAAAAAGTTAGAAAGCTAAGTTTCTAGGCCATGTGAGATTGTTGAGTCTCATCCCTATTCTGTGAATCTGGACTCAAGAGAGTCTCTTCAATCTCTGATGAAGAAGCAGGTAGCTTGCAGCATTTCATCTTCTTCAAGTCCTCCCTTGAACAAATCAAGATCCTCTTCACCATGTTGCAGAATTCCCTGCATGTTAGGTGCCACATCAGAATAAATAAATTAATTAATTAAAGAAAATAATATATATATACTAAGTTTTATACTATCATCTGACTATAAATTCACATGTATGATAAATTTGTTATTATCTTAAAAATCATACTTATGGTAACTTCTATAAAACTTTTACATTTAATTCAAGAAATTAAGCTTGTATTACAGTGGAACAAGAAATTGAAAATGGGGGTGGCAACGAAGTTCATATTACTCACGGCCATGGATCATCACCAACGAGCATCATGTCATTTTCATCATCTGTGAAAGTAACTGCCCATTTGTTTTGTGAACGCAGCTCTCCTTTGATATCAAACAATTTCTCAAGCTCATCTATGAGGTCATCATAGCCACTCAACGTGGTCAAGTCAAATGCACGACCAACAGCAACACCTTGCATTTGCACCTTCTCAAAAATATTTAAGTTAGCGTCCATCAACTACACGGTAGAAATTAGGCCACAAGAGACCATCATAAATTAATTAAAAAATTGAGATGAAATTTGAAGGAAAGAGAACGTGACACACCTGACTCCTACCTACCTACCAATACCATTAACCATACTTGTTAAAACCTTTTACATTATTTGAGTTTGGTCCTAAATATGAAAGGAATCTTAGATTATTTCACCCAAGGCTGACAATGTACCTTAGTCCGCGTCCTCATGGATGGTACAGTGGCCTGCTTGTTCTGCCACTCATTTGGTGATGCCTCAGAAATAATTTGCTTGTTGGACAGTGAATAGTTGGGAGTCTGAACCCTCTCAGTTTCACATGCAGCTGCAGGAATAGATTCTTTGGGACCACTACCAACAATACTTAAGCTTCCACCTCTCTCTGAAGGACTAATAACAACATTGCTACAATTGTTGCTCAAATTAACTCCAAATAACCAGCAATCAAGGGAATTCTCACTTCTTTTCCCATCTTCCCCTCCCTCACATGTGGGGCCATCACTTGATCTTGATGGAACATTAGGGTAACCAGAGATAGATGATCGTGCCGAAACGCAATTGTTGATATTAGGATCAGAAAAATTTTTGGAAGAAACATTCACATGTGGTGAACAAGGCCATACTCCTTCCACCCGGACTCTAGAGTTAGCATTAATAGGATTGCTATTAATAACATCTTTCTGCCTTAAAGAGCATGTAACTTGATTTTCCTTGCTTTGGACTTCAACAACAGCAGCAGCACCTAATTGACCAAGCTCGTGAGACTGGGAAGAACCATGATACCAGAAACCTGAAGCAGCTGAATTGAAATCATCAAAACAACATCCAAGTCTAGTTAGGGCATGTTTGGATAAAATTCTCAAGAAGCACTAGGGGAGAAAAATAGGAAAGAAAAATGAAATAAGTTTTCTATAGTTAAAAAAATTAGCTTATCCATAAATTAATTTGTAGAAATTCTCTCTTATTAACTTCTCCAAAATCTTAATTTTAACTTATACATAAACTAGTTTTAGCTTACGATGGGAAAACATATATCAATTTTCCTTGTTATTTTTTATCCTAAAAGTACTTTTAGAGAAATTTTTCCAAACAAATCCTTAATGTCACACAATAAACAACTCATTAAATGGAACTTAGGACAAGTCTCCTACCAGAAGATGAAACTTCATTAGGCCTAGACCTTTTGCCCTTCACTGCTGGTTGAGTGACATTCAAAGTAGTAGAAGCTACAAAAGGCTCTATCTCCCAGCAAGAAACTCTATCTGGCCTTGGAATTGTAGCAGGTTCATCCCATTGAATCTATGTGGCAAAAAATTATAAATGCAAACAATTATTTAAGAGTAAAGGAGTTTAAATGGGTGGTTTAGAACATAGGTTCAACCTTCAATGAACGCCACTGAGAATTTGACCATCCTGCAGAAACGTCCCCTACCCCAACAATAGTACCAGAAAACCTGACCAATAATTGCATGGTAATTAATTACCAACTTGCAGGGAAGATGAAATTTTGACAACAACAGCTGTTTACATGAACGAATACCTTCTCTCGGGTGAGTCATCCCCCTCAAATCTCATCTTGAATCTCATGCCAACCGAAAACTTATTGTTCACTGCCTCTAGATATTTGTTCAAACCAACAATAAACTGACTAGTCCTAAATGCATCAAAAGACACGTTTTAAGGGCAAAGTTACACAAATTGTTGGACTATAATAAGCTAGTGACATGACATGTACAATACAATTCAAAGTTTTTACAAACCTTGGCTTGTAATAAACCAAAAACATTGTACGAGTCATGACAGCATGGGAAGCAGTGGCAAGCACTCCAAGGTGCATGCTCTGGCTTGATATCACAGATGAAGGCATAGGACTCTGCTGCCGCGCTAAACGCCTAACACCAACTCTCAATTTTCCATGCTCTCCCCTGCAACACTCAAGTGCAGACTATTGGAGATCTCACATCGACTAGTTTTAAGCAAGTGCATCAATGTTTCATTTATTTGAATACCTTAGAAACACAAAAGCATCTCCAGCAACCAATCTTTTAGATGCAACAAATGTGCTCCAACCAGTTGTAAGCAAGTGCCTCCTTGGTTGACCTTATCACATTAGTGAAAGGGATAAGCAAGTCTAGAATTTCTCATTTGTTGCAAATCACAATACTCACTCATTCCAGAATTTGAACATGCAACTAAAGTAAAAAAGAAAGAGGCTCCTCATATCAAAAACAAATTACCCCTGTATATATGCTTAAACTTCCACTCAAATCCATGAAGGTCCTTTGCTGCCAACTCCTGAGTTGGGGTTGCTTGAGTCATGTCCTACAATATACAAATAAGAAGTATTTAAAATTCAGGAAAATTTAATATCCTCTTCTTTTTTAAATTATTAAACATCTACATTCATCTCAGCTAAAGGAAACTCAGTTAAATACCAATGGAGGTAGGCACTCAGTAGCATGCTTCCGCAGAACCGAAAATCCTCCATGTGTGCTTGTATCAGAGGCAGTTAATATCTTGCAAAATGAGTGAAACTTCTGTTTTGGGGTCTCAGAAACATTTGGATCAGGATTTGTAGGCTCAGTTTGCTGTATAGACCACAAAACACAAATAAAAAAAATAATAATAAAAAAAAAGGAAAGAAAGTATTTCAAAAACACTGTTAAGCTTATGAGCTTAAACCCCACTTTCTCAACTTAAAATCAATGTCTTTCGTAAAGCAGATTGAGACAGACCAATAATGAGGGGGAACTCTATTCAGAAAATGTGACACTCGATAACAAAACGGATCGACAAGACAAAACCATAAAAGGATAGGAGACACATATATTCTCACATCTGATTCTGGAAGCAAAGCGATGCAAGCATAAACCTCATCAGTGTCTTGTTCCGCCTACAAAAAATTAACAAGATTCCACCATAAGCACACGTGAACCGTCACCTCAACAACAAAAGGAACAAGGAAAAACAACAGCAAGAGGAACAAAACAACAGTACCAACAACTGAATGTTCACAACACGGCAAAAAATCTTGGCCGGGAGATTGAAATGGGGAATTTCCTGGTTCAATTCCTGATCCGTAGATGCTTGCAACTTCAAAAAGAAAAAAGAAAAACAACCCAGAAAGGCCTTAAAGTTTCGTATGCAAGTACAACAAACCGAAAAACAACCACAACCCCAAAACGGCAACAAAATCAAAATCAATAACAAAAAAACAAAGAAAAATCAAAGCATGCATACTTGTTCCATGTGACCCTGTGGGAAGTAGAAAACTCTGTCCCCAGTACGAGGAACATCCACCAAAGGCCCTGCACACAACTTCCATAGCTCTCTGTACAGATCGTCATCCTTCAAACCTGCCACAACAACACAAACAAGTGAGACCAAGAACACAAGCCCAATGCCCCTGCATGGTTTCTGAGAAAGTTAACAACTTTTTCTCCACCCCACTTTCCCCCATCCTCACCAGGGAAAAGGGCCATTCACTCACCCCTCAAATTTCATCATTAAAAAACAAAAAACATGAGCAATTGCTAAAAAACATAAGCATTTCCCTTTTATGTCTCAACTTTCTCAGTCACCAAACAAGGTAATCCAACACGAAATTCCAACCACAACAAACCCATTGACCTTTTTCCGGTTGAGAACTTCCACCCCCGGGACCCCTCAGATTACACTCCAGATGTGCCATTCAAACCAAAACCAAACACACAAAGCGAAAGCTCCTTTACCTTAACCACAAACAAAATACCCCATGAGAGAGAAAGCACCAACCAGACATGACAGTTAAATGTGAATAGTAGTAGTAATGATAATTACAAACTACAAAGTGCTTCTTTTTCTTTTTCTGAAACCACCAACAATAACAACTCCCTAGAATTATATCACATGGAGTGACTGCTTCAAGTTCCGGTTACAGAAACCACGGTGGTGTGGTGCCCCCTCTAACCTCTCGCTTCTCTTTTTTTTTTTTTTTCTTTGCCTTGGCGTTGTGGTGTGAGGAAGAATGAAAGGGCACTTTTTTCCTTCAGTTTGAAGCTCCAAAAACGCTTTTTGAAAAGCTTGTGAGTTTCTGAAAGGCGTTGGCGTTCTGGGTCTTTCTCTTCCTTTTGATGCTGTCGCTGTCGTTGATTGTTTCCCTCAAAAGACCTCAAATCCACGTTACCAACGTTGTTGCTTCCTCATATCATAATGCACTCTTCACTCTTCACTGCTCTTTCTCTCTCTCTCTCTCATGTTTTCTGAGTCTAAGATGTTTAACACTCACTTCATTCCCCTTTACACTTCCACAAGCTATAGCCTCATGTCCTCTAGCCTATAGATTCAGCTTAGCCTACTGCAACTTATTCTCCCAACCTCATTGGCCACTATTTAAACACACTTTGTTTTTATTATTAAATTATACAAACTCTCATGCTTACTTTTTTTTTTTTCTCTCTTTTTTTAATGTTAGTGATAAAGAGTATTTAGTAAATTTCTCCATATTTTTTTTTTAAATTTCACTAATCATTTTTAATGGATCTCATCTTTAAATTACGTTTTTCATATATGGGTTTTAAATATAAAATATTACTTAAAAAATCAAGTCAAAAATATCACTCAAATTAATAAGTTATTAATTATTTAATATTTTTTATTTAAAACCATATGCTTATAGCTTATTATTACCTCTGTAAAAATCATAAACAAATGTTAGTAGAAAATAACAACGCTTTGCTCGGGACAGGACGAAAGCAATTTTTAAATGTTTCATGACAGAATTTTACTTTTGATTAAAATATGTTTTATACTTTTTACCTCCCAATATATCCTCTTAAAGACACCTGTGAAATTTACTCACGGATTAATACAGTAAGTAAGTAAAATGTTTTGTAAAGTAACATACTTTAATATTCAGATTCTCGATATTACAAGTAAAATTTACGCAGAATCACAATATTTTATTGTGATCTATTAACTAATTGAAAATTGAGTTTGATTTTATGTATTTTACCAATAAAAAATTATTGTTAACATGAACTTTAAAGTAATTATCATATAAAACAAAGTAAATGTTATACATGGGCTATTTATTGTTAAAAAATTTAAGCATAATTTTAAAACTGATTAATTTTTAGACTGACGATAGTAAAAAAATATTATTAGAATATTATATTAAAATTTTAAAATAATTTACACAATACTACTTATTATGATTAGGAAGGAATAAATTTTAAATTTATTACAGGCATACAAAGAATAAATGTATGCAGCCGCTCTTGGAGTCAACTATCGCACATTTTGATTTGCCTCCAACGTAGCGAGGGGATTAATCACTACTATCGACGGTGAATACTTTAGGAATAAAAAAGAAAAAACCAAAGAATGAATATAATTAATTTAACAATAAATATGGGTCGGGTGCGTTGGGACAAATTGTAAGTCGTTCTAAACATTTATGGTACTCTTTAAGTATAAAGTCTGTTCTAATGACTAACGTAATGGAATGAAATTAATTGCCATAAAAGAAAATAAATGGCTAAACTTTCATATTCAATTTAAAAGAAAATAATCATAGATACGTGAGTTTTAAAAATATTGAAAATATATTTTAATTCTTAGAATTTACATATGAAGATTGTTTAAAAAATAAAAATACGTGTTATTGATCTTTTTTAAAGATTAATGTTTTTCAATACTTACTATTATTTAATGTAAGTTTTCAAATAATTAAAATAATAATTTAATCATAATTAAAAATAGTGTTATGATGTAAAGATTTTTTACACTATTGTTTAATTATAATTTTCAAATAATTAAAAATGAATATTTTTTATAATTATTTTAAAATTCATATTTATTATAAATTTTAATTTATTAATGATATAATTTTTTATACTAACATTGTACCAAATTAAACCAAAAAATTGATATCACCAGTATTTATGTTTTTTTTTTAAATTAATATGAACATTTTATATAAATAGTAATAATAATAATAATAATAAAATAATGTATCCTTGTTTGACGGTTTGAAAGAGGAATTTGAAATATCATTTTCAAAATTTCCTTCAAATAGAAATATAGAATGACTCAATGGAGAAGAGTATTATTTCACTTTCTTTGGGTATTTTGTAAACCATACATAATTTAAAAATAAGAAAATGAGATGGAATGAATGTGAAAAAACATGTTTGACGATAAATGTAGGGATACATCCAAAGTGATTCTTCAAATGGTGACATCCACCATCACAAAGCATCCGGATTCTAAGGTTTTTTTCCTTCATAAAATGATATCCATTTGTGCCACGGCAAAAATCATTTCACCAAAACGAAAATATTTAGGATTCCTTTACTTGTTTTTTTTATTTCTATCTTTTAATTGCAAAATTGTGACTTTTTAATCTGACTTTAAGTTCAAACATTTGTTTAGAAAACAAAGAAAATAAGAATAAGGACCAACTTGAATTGTGACATGTAGTGAAGAATTCAACCAAGCCATAAGGATTGAATTCTAATTCTTGTAAATACCAAATAAATAAATAAAATTGAAAGGAAATGCCAACCTATTTAGTGCGTGTTTGATTTGAATTTTGTGACGTAATTCTTTATAACGTGAAACAGAAATAACTTCTCATGACTTTTGTGTAAATATGAGATTTGGACATGAAAATTTGTTGCAACATGTGTATAGAACATTAAACCAAACACATACTTAGTATTGATGTGTCTTTCTTTTACATACTTTTATCAACTTTTGGTACATGCTAATAAACTATACTCTATCTCACATATTTAGCCTTTTAAGTTTTCTTTTTATTTTAAAATTTCAAAGGCTAATGAATATTTTTTTTCACAACTATTGTAACGACCCGTCATGGCCGTCATACTACGGAACAACACTACACCCTACTGAAATATATATACTAAAATAGTATAATAAAATAATTACAACCCAAGTTGCTAATCAAGCAACCAACAACAACCAACTATATACAACAAAATATGTTACTATAAGGTAGCCTACAAAAAAAATCCAACTCTAGGCACCTCATGTGGCCTTTAGCAGCTATCTCCCAGCCTATCCATGCCCTGCTCTCATACATCGTATGATCATCGCAGTCCAAACCACATGAAAACATCCAACTCTAGGCACCTCATGTGGCCTCTAGCAGCTATCTCCCAGCCTATCCCTGCCCTGCTCCCATACATCGTATGATCATCGCAGTCCAAACCACATGAAAACATGCAAGGGTAAGCTAGAGACAATAAACAACTTATAATAATTAAAAATGCAACACACCAACTATATAATCATCTTCACATCCAACATAGAAGACAACAACACATATACTACACATCTTAACATCATTTCAACTTGATTCAACATATCAACACTGTATCAACACTTCAACGCACTACTGTACAAACCATTGGAATAGTTACCATATTCATCATAACAACAACCAACACATGTATTGCACACCTCTCAACAACACATGTTTAAAAGCAACTTACAACATAACAACACTATCATCATCCTTAACAGTGTCAACATACAACACATAACAACACACAACTCAATCACAGCTTCACAACACAACAGCACATATACAACTTATATCAACATCAATTAAACACATTAACAGCTTATGCGTCGTCATGTATTTCAACTTGGAGATCTCCTACAACATGGGTGAGCAATTTAAGTGGCTAGGTCCTACCGAACCAACAACCAAGAACCTTTTTGGGCTTGCTAGGTAAACAGCAAATTTGGATATCAATCCACAGCACGATAACGATTTCTCAGACTTTGCCACTTAAACAAGGAAGTATAATACTATGTCAGGATAGAACAGTTGGGTTTAGGCCTACCACGGAATTAGCTAGCTTAACTAAGCCATCTATGGGATTAGCCTACCAACTATCCTCCAAATACTACAACCCTCCGATACTCGGTTAGGAACTAAGTTTCCGACTTCGTACTTTACTCAAATTGGCCTCTTGTAACCGGTATAGCTCGACCTGACACCTATACCGTGGTTGCTTTGTACATGTGTGCCTCGACCTTGCCCACACATGGGACCAACTAAGTCTTAGAGGAGAACAACACAATGTCCACTCCAAGGGACAACTTCCCAAGGAGGGTTTTCAACAAATTGGGTTTTCTGAGCACCATAGCATAAAACAACTTTAACCACTTAACTTCAACATGCTTCAATAATATCATCAATTCAACATATAATAGATCAACAACTTCAAAACATACAACATATTCAACACATAATACAACTCACCCATCATGTTTACAACTCATCTATCATGCCAACCTACACAACATATACAACATGAATTAACCTACACACCCAAGATAGCCTTCAACTTATCCAAATCACTCCTTGTGAAATGACAACCTTTACATAAAACAACATATTGGGAGTTATACTACTCCTACCATTCTCATCCTTATCTCATACAAAAGATAAGAAGATTTCCTACAACTCTCATGAAGACACCAAGTCCTAATTCCTTCATCTACCTTGTTAAAAATTCTAAAAACCGCAACAGCTAAAACCAATGTTAGCAGCTTGACCCCTCTTCACTAAAACAACCATATTTGGAGTTCTAGACCTCTTTTTTGGGTGATTCCAGCGCCATTGGAAAGCTAACATCCAAGTCTACAACTTTCATGAAGACTTAAAGACTAACATTGATGGAGTCCTCCTTCCATGGATGATGTAGAGTATGAAGGGGAAGACCTTGCCCTTGATCTAGTTCACCAAAGGGAAGACACAAAGGAAGATTTAGGGTGGAAAAAGGGAAGGTAGGCGTGAAGGTGTTAGGGTGGTGGTGTATGGTTGCTCAAGTTGGCTCACTCCAAGTGTAGGTGGAGGCCACTCTAGGTTTCCTATTCTCCAAGGGTGGAGATAGGAGGAGGTTAGCCGAAACTAACTAGTGACTAAGGATGGGATTTTGAGGCACAAAAGGCTCACTCAATATCATATAATCCAAAGTATTTACAAGTGGTGGGGTGTTGGGTATTTATAGGAGGGGAGGCATCTAGGGTTGCATTTGGAGTGTGCATGGCCGAAATTCACAAGGCAAATGCACTCCAAATGACATGCCAAATGAACCCTAGATGCTACTTGGTGACCAAGTTTGGAATCTATGGGTCTAGATTGGCTACATCAAGGTGTATGATATGATCATGCAACCTTTGCCCTCCACTTGGGCCTAAGCCTTTCTATCACCAAAAATAGATCCAAAACTCACCAAAAATG